GGAGGAGGAGGAGGAGGAGAGCTAAGAATGTTTCCAGCCATCGGAGAGCATGACCAAGAGTTTGGAGCGTCTGAGAAACACCGTGACAGAGACAGATTCCTTCAAAGATTTGTCCAAGACCCTCCAGGTCCCCTTCCCCCCTCCTCCTCCTAACCTCAGTCTCTCATTTTCTCTCACTGGTACTTTCTCGTTCGTTTTCTGACATGCCTCATAGAAGGAAATCGATCAGTAAAGTTGTTACTTCACATAGAACTCATCTCATCTCAAGCAATCTCTCTTCCTCTTCTTCTCCCTCCCTCCGCTCTCGTTTGCTTGTTAACTTCCTTCTGCTCCTCGCGGCTGTTCAGATGCAGCCGGTTGCGAAGCTGCAGCAGGGCTCGGGGAGGAGCAGAGAAGGGACGAGAGACCAGGAGGAGGAGGAGGAGGAGTTTTCATCGCGGGTCAGCATTTCAACTGTGTCGTGAAAGTTTCCTTGGTCGTCTTGACCTCCACACGCGAAGACTCGTCCTCCCCTCCCGAAGGCTCCCAGGAACGCCCGCGGCATCTTGAGATCCACCGCCTTCTCCCATCGGTCCTCCTCCACCACATATCTCTCCACGCTCCTCAACACCCGGCTCCCGTCAAACCCTCCGATCGCCAGGATCTCCGCCCCCCCGCCCTCCTCTCCTCCTCTCACAACCCCGACAGCCGCCAGCCCCTCCCTGGGCCACGTCATGCTCGCGCACTGTCGCCAGGCGTTGAGCTTCACGTCGTAGACCTCGACGCTGCTCAGCCGCTTCTTGCCGTCAAACCCTCCGATGGCGAAGAGTTTCTCCTTAACCGCCACCAGCGCAAAGTTGCTCCTCGCCTCATGCATGCTTTTGATCGCCATCCACCGACCTCCTCCTCCTCCTCCTCCTCCTCCTCCTCCTCCTCCTCCTCCTCCTCTTCCGTCCAGTCGCTCGCCGCTGCTCAACCTCTCGGTGCCGTCATTCCCTCCGATGGCGTATACAAACCCGTTGAGGGCAGCGAGCGCGAGGCCCGAGCGAGCCTGCAGCATGTCTGGCTCGCTCCTCCATCGAGACACCAGCGGCGACGTCCCATCCTCCTCCCCGCATGCGAAACTTTCCACCGACCGCAGTCGCTCAATCCTCCTCCTCCCTCCCTCGACGACGCTCGTCTGCCCTCCTGCCACCCAAACTCGCCCTCCAGCTGCTGCACATCCTGTGAACTTGCGGCTCACTAAGAGAGGAGGGCCAGAGAACCACAGAGAGGGGGAAGCCAGAGCGGAGGGGGAGGCAAGGGAGGACTCTGTGACAGCAAGGCGGAGGAGGAGGAAGAGGTCAGAGACTGGAGGGATCGCAGAGTTGAACTTGGGCTCACGGCAGCCTCCCACGAGCACCACGAGATTTTCACTACTTCCTCCCTTCCGCTTCACGTGCAGCTTGACGTTCTCTTTCTTCACCTGCTCCTTCCCCTTCCCTCCCTTGCCACCTGCCTGCCCCTTCCCCTGCGAGACGTTCTCCTTGCTCGACAGCGATGGGGCTTCTCCTCCTCTCCTTTTCTGATGCGCCGCCGCCATCACCGCCTCGAGCTCACTGTCAATGTTTCGAGCCCCCACCAGCGTCGAGAGCTTCCAGAACGCGCGGCCGATCGATTCCTCCGAGACCTGCGGGAAGCGGATGGGGAGCAGGGCTCTCCTCAGCGTCAAGGCCCCTGCGCGCTCCTGCGGAGAGACTTCTGCCCATCGCAAGACCGCAAGCAAGGCTGTGTCCTCCTTGTTGACTTTGAGCGTGTCCTGGTGGAGGAGCCACGTGAGGAGCTTCTCGTCGAGCTCCTTCAGGCTCTTCTCCTCCTCCGCCATCTTCTCAAACTCCTGCAGCATCACGTTGCTCGCAAGCGCTAGACAGTCTCGTAGGGCAGGACGAGACGGCTGCGGGTCATCAGACCCGTTCCAAGAGGGATCGACGCAGAGACGGAAGAGGAGAGGAGCGACGGAGGACGAAACCCTGGCTCTCAAGCAAGGCACCAGTCCCCCGACTGTTTCCAACAGGCTGGCAAGGAAGAGAAGGTGCGCAACTCGCTCCTCCTCCACCTCCCTCACCCTCCCCGTGTAGACAAACTCAACGAGCACGGCGACATCTTGCGCGCGTGCGAGAGAGAGCGAGGGATGAAGAGGAGCGAGCAGAATCTCCTGCGAAGGAGCTCCGGCAGCGAGCAGGCGTGGAAATCCAGGGCAAAGAGCTGAAGAAAGTGTCAGGTAAGGAGGAGAATCACTTCGGGGTGAATTGAGACGAGAACGAGGAATGGACGAGGAATGGAAGGGAAGCGAGGAGGAGAAGTTTCAAACCATTGAAAACGCATCGATGTGCCGACACTTTGAGTCCCTGGCTGTCGACCAGGGTCAAGTCAACGTCGTCAGCTTGAGAGAGTCGCATGAGGAGGCGAGTGGCAGCGAGTGCGGCATGGTCTCTCTTGACAGGCTCCGTGGCGGCTACCGCAGGAGGAGGGAGAAGCGTCTGCTTGTCCTTGGGGTTGTCTTGCTTCTTCTTGGACATTTAGAAACCTGCGAGCGTCACCGTCACAACGTGCTAGGACTGTTCATCACTCCGAGAGCTGAAACAAGACAGGGAGGAACGCGCGAGACAAGGAGGGAGGGAGACAAGGAGGGAGGGAGACAAGGAGGGAGGGAGACAAGGAGGGAGGGAGACAAGGAAGGAGGGAGGTCTGAGCGAAGACAAAAGAGAAACAGAAATCGTCAGCAGAAGCAGGAACGGGAGCGGGAGCGGGAGCAGCAGGAACGGGAGCAGGAGCAGAGCAGGAGCAGGAGCAGCTGCTGGAATTCAACGGCCGTTGGCCCTCATCCCCTCATACCAATCACTTGTTTGCTTCGGTTTGCCCTTCTTTTTCAGTCAATAAACTTGTTTGTAGGTTTTCTCCTTTTCCTCCTTGTTTGCTCCGGTTTGCATTTCCATTGTTCAGTCAATAAACACATACTTGTGGCCAATACTTGCCCTGAATACTTGCTGCAATACTGGTGCCAATACCCGAATTTCGACTTTGGTCGGGCCTCCTCACTCTCCTGATTGTCCTCATACTGATTTTAACTCAATCTTGACTGATCGCTGATCAGTGAAGTTGCCAAGTTGCGTCTGACTCAACTCAACTCAACTCAACTCAACTCAACTCAACTCAACTCAACTCAACTCAACTCAACTCAACTCAACTCAACTCAACTCAACTCAACTTGACTCAACTTGACCAGCCGGCTGATGGGAGACTCAGGGCCTGACTCAGGGCTGCAGCATCTCCAGCGAAACTCACTGAGACTCAAGGGCCGTATGAGGGCCGTGCGATCAGATCGCCAACTCATGACCACTTACAAGTTACCAGCTATTAGTTCCACATGAGACATGAGACATGTTTGATACAGCTACAAGTTCTACTTGATCAGTCATCCAGCTTGTCCGCCCGTCAGAGATCCTCCAACTCCTCCTGGATTTGTTGGATATGCCTGCCAACCTTCGTGAGATGGAGACTTGACAACAAGCACTCGTTCAACGCACCTCCCGATCTCTTGAATCACCTCGTCTTCGTCTGTGTACATTCCTGTTCTCAGGAGAGCATCCCGTTCATCCATAAGCCGGCTAAGATCCTCACTCAACGCAGTCGCCCTCGCAGTCTGGTCGTTCCCTTGCCCTCGCGGCGACAGTTCATGGCCCTTATCCCCTCTTGTAGCGTCTCTGAAATCATCGCGTTGAGCAGCAGCCCCAGCATCGAGCGCAGATTCCTCCTCCTCCTCCGGGATTGATCCAACTGCTAGGTGGTCAACATGCATAAGAGCAAGGGTCTTGCCATACTTGCGATGGGCTTGGAACGAAAGTCCAACGCAGAGCCGTCGCTGATTGGAGCATGACATGTCGAAGAAAGCTCGCGAGGCTTCCATGAGCCAACAGGAAAGGCGTCAGAGTCTGACTTGAGTGCCTTGAGAAAGACTCAGGAGAAGCAAATGATGCAGCGTATGACCTCGATCTGCCGTCTAAGATCATCCAGCGTTTGTCTCTCTGCTCGGATTTCTTGAGACTCCTTGAATGATACTCCATCATGCTTCTTGAATTCAACAAGCGACAGTCACCTCGCGAGCATGAAGGAGAAGTTTCATGCTTTCAAGCTCTTTCTCGTGTTCTTCGTCTCGTTTTCTGGTTGAAAGTTGAGGTCGTTGGATACTGATCTACTTCCCTTACCGACTCAAAACCTTCAATGACTTCGCCAACTGCTCTTTGCATGCAACATGTCGTTGTTCTGCTTGAATCAACTTGTCGGACAATTCCTAGAAGATTTCATCACATCGAAACCTCCAATGCCACTCGCATGCAACCTCATTCTTGGCTTTGAGGGAAGCGACTTCAATCATTAATTGTGCTTCGGAGGTGTTTCGTTGAGCCTTACAACCAAATCAATGTTCAGGAGGTGAGCACCAAGCTTCTCACATTCTTCAGCTTCTGCAGCTCTACGTCTAAACGAGTGTTCCGGTCTTCAGACTCCTTGAGTCGCACTTGCAACGACTGGCATGAGCATCAGCCAACAACGATCAAGAAGCGCTACTGTTCGTACCTGAAGCTGTTCAGACAGATCCTTCCGCTTAGCCTCAGCCATGTTCATGTCATGAGCCACTTCTTCACGCATCCTCCGTCTGGCCTCCTGGAGTTCTTCGAACAAGACCCTCAATACGATTTACGAAAGAGAAGGAGGTTACCAGTCCTGCGTTGCTCCAGCAAACTGTTAGCACTCCGTTGTCGCATCTCTGCCTCTTCCTCAGCAAGGGCTAGACGTCGCTCTCTTGCCTCAAGCTCTATCAAGCCTTTCTTGAGCGTTCTCTCAAGCCCTGCTAACTCTTCGAGCTTCTTTTTAATTGCATTTTGCCTGAGACTTTCATGTTTGCGAAACTCGGATTCAAGGATTGCAATCTTTTCTCTCTTGAACGCTTCCAATTCCAATGGATTGATAAGTCTCTCCTTCGCCTCGTCAACAATACAAACACGAGTGTTTGTTTCAGTCGATCGGGAGCGCTTGGAGTCATTGTTCTCTGCATCAGCTCTTCCATTTTCATGTCTCGTGGCCGATGCTTGTGCTTCCAAACTTACTGAGTGATGTTCCATCAATTCTTCCCTTGCTTCTTCTCCTTGCCTAGACCAAGGTTTTCTGGATTTGTCTTCCAGTGCGGTTTGTGTGTCAACCTAGTATGACGTCAACTTCGCCTGTTCAGTACGGCCTTACCGTCTCGCTTGTACTGATATGTCCTTGTGCAAACTCCGCACGCTGGCATGAGAGTTACTCAAAAACGACAACAGCCGGGAATTCACCTCTCCGGTGTCAGCGTGCAAGAACGTATCATGAGGTAATGCAAGAGGAGCATCCGACGGCTCAAAGCCGCTGGTGTGCTCAAGGGGGCCCAAGTCGAAGAATTCAAGCTTGACGGTAACCACAAACGCTACTGTGCCTGAACACTTTACTTGCACCGCTCCTATTCCTTTGCTCAAAACCTATGTGTCGACATGTGAGCTTTAGCGATGTATCTCTCTAACCCGCACTGCTTACCTCCTTTGCACTTTGTTCATTCACTTGAAGCAATCGGACTTCTCCGATCCATTCAGACCTTCCGTGCCATTGGCTGACATCGTCTGGTCTAAACAAAAACCATAGGTTCAGGTCCCCCAACGCCAGTAGTTTGTCATTCGCGAAAGAGTTTCTACTCCACAATTCAATCTTCGAACATTTGGTCAGAGAGTAACAAGAATCATGAGATTATGCCACCTTCACGGAATCTGAAAGCGATTCAGCAACTCCTTCGATGTCAAGTTCGAAATCGAATTTGGAGAATCCATTTTTAAGCACCGCTTTCGAATGTCTCACAATATCGATGGGAGGATTGGTAAGAATCGGAGGCTTGAAGCCAACATTTGGGAGAGAGTAGCGGATGTATACAGTTTGCTGAGCGTTGCTCAAGTTGCGCACCTCCTTCAAGTCAATCACCAACGAGAACTTTCTTATTCCTCGACTGTCATCGTGATATTCCAGTGCCTGGACGACGAATGACGCGTCATGACTCACGACTATGTCAGAAATGAAATGGTTACCTGCAGAATACTTCTCTTTTTGTCTGCCCAGGTGGCTCTTTCGAAGTTATAATTGAACATTATGATCAATTCAAGCCTGTCATTTACATGATACACAACCTTCAACATTGGTGAAGGTACCTGTAAGTGTTGGAAACGTCCTGAAAGATCACTGCATGTCGTAGCAAATGTCCAATGCACTCATCACCTACCAGATAGAAAGTGAAACAACGACAAGGAGAAATCAAGAAGCTACATCTCTTGGATGATCCGTTTGGATTGTCGAATGTGCCATGAATGCGCTGACCCGAGTGAATTCAGAACAAAAGCAGATTATCTCGTTTGTTCAAACCTTGCTGGGAGAAGACTTTTTAAGAATGTCAAGGGAGAATGAATATTCGCTTGGGTCAAAGGCCTCACTCGGTGCATCAATAACAAAACTTTGTGCCATGGCATTTTCACTGGCGTGTGTCAAGGAGAAGCGGTCCGAAGATAAAAGATTATTGCCCTGATGACTGCAGTGGACCTGAAATTTAGCCTCCTCAGCTGGTGTTCCAGTCGGATCACCAACGACGTTCAATGATAACATGGTCATGTAGACATGGCATTTTCTCCGAACGTCTGTGGGATGCTGACTAGCCATCGACGTCTCTTCCAGTTTCCACCGAAAGTCTACTGCGGCCATTTCAATGGCATTGACATCTGACTGTAATTTCGTGCTGTACAACTTGATTTGCAACTGACCTCCGGTAAACGCTTGTTGTGATGCAGTATTCACTTTACAGAATCCACTCGCAATCACGCTGTTTCCTTCCAGAAGCCAAAGGTGTATTGAATGTTCTCTCATGAATCCCTCAAGTAAGGAAGGAGGAGATGATATGCACTGGACAAGACTTTGTTCATCAAAACGCAATGTGCAGAGTTCGTGAGCGTCATCGGGTGAAACAGGAATGTTAACCAACTCAAAGCGCCCTGCAAAACCAACAATCAAAGCGGATTTTGCAGTACAAAATCGCGTCTCTGGATCAGAATTGAGTTTGAGTGAATCAAAACTTAAAGACAAGATATAATTCCTGCACTCAACGCCTTGGGATAGTGTCAAGTGCCTGAATAGACCAGAGTTGACTGCCCATTCCCGATGAGGCATAGTAGACTCATTTTCTCGTTTATCGCATTCCACTGTGAGTTTTGTTTCTAGCTCACGATCATCTGCATGTGTCGTGCTCTTGTTGGTATCTCGGGTGACTAGCATGTCAAGAGCCTCAAGCTCTGTAGGAAATCTTATCTCCTCTGCAGGATCAAACGATTGTGAATCCCCGAGCATTTTGCAGTCGATCTTGTAATATATCTTCACTTCTGGCAGCGGTTGACGAGATCCTCTCAGAGGGAGCCATGATCCTTCTTGCACACAGTGATTTCCTGAGCAGACTGTCTTTTTACTCTGCACTGCGCATGCTGCTGTCCGCAGGTCCAAAAGGACGAATCCGATCAATTTTGCTCCAGTGGTCCCTACATCTCCTGCCAGGACGCACCGAAGTTTGAGAGTGGAGTTGTCTGCCTGTTTCAAGTCTCGATGCTTTCTTTCTCCGAATTCCCATACCAGCTCCGTGTTGAATACCGGGCTCTGTCACATGTCAAAGGGCATGTTCAGTTTTGTGATACCAAATGGTTCAAAACAAGACCTGAGAAAGAGGCTTGGGGTCGGTCGTCAATGTCTCACCGTTGAAACGTCCTTCAAACGCGATAAATCTCCCACCCTCTTCGATGTGCTGGGGGAATCTCCTGCCCTTGAAGATGCGCACAACCAGCTGGTAGTACAAGGATGCATCCTTCATTTCATCTCGTACCATCTCGTTAGACAGGGAGTAGGTGCCCATTCATCTGCACAGGGTTGTTCAAATGTTCAGCAGTCACCATAGGCTAGAGCTACAAGTTTGGACCAAGAGTACAATCTGACAGAATGCTACAGATACAGATTATGCCTGATCATGATGCTGTTCCAAGACTATTGTCAGTCAAGCATAGGCATTCTTATTAATCTATAATGTTCAATTCCACCACCATTTTTCTCAGCGCTTGTTTACTCTGCTTCTCTCCTTCTCTTTCCGCATTTCCTTCTGTCCTTCCCCATTCTGACTCGAACTTTCCCTGTCCTCCCCTTCCTCCGATGATTTTCCCGCCATTCTCTGGGAGTAGCGTTACGAAACCGTTACGATACTTGAGACTGAGTGGATTAGCTCAGCGGAGTTTAGTTACTCTGAAACGGGCAGTCAAGATAAGCCCCAACGCATGTCGGAGGGGTGGGTGCTAGGGAGGGACAGCAGGGGTACAAGGGGGTAGTATGACTACAATTATGGAAACAGGGTAGTGGAAACAGAGGGGGTGGGGTGGGGTGTGTTGATTGAGCCACTACAGGAATGGCTTTGATTGGCGAGGGGAGGGAAGGTCGTGCCATCATGGACTCGTTCTCCTCCTCTTCCTCTCCTCTCTCACTTCATGCAAGAACTCTTGATCACTCCTCCTCGCGTGTCGGCCACTCCTCATCTTTCATGGAGTCCCCGCGCGGCAGCGGGTCAGGTGAGTGTGGAGGATCGAAAGACTTACTTTAGCTCAGTGAGTTTCTGTCCGCAGAGAGCGAGATACACCATCTCTCCAAGAATGTAACTGGAGAGAAAAGAACACAAAGCAGCAGTTTTGCAAGAGAAAACGATTTCAACGAGATTGAAACGCTTGCAAGGCCTTTCAAGATTTACGCGGATAAAGCATTAAACCTTCAGAACACGCACAGACGGATAAACCGAAGCAAGATCAACCTGGCAGGAGACTTGAACAACCAGGACGATTGCGTGCGAGAACTGCTCAAAGAGAAAACTAACATCTTGTCGAAATCTTTTGATGGGAGGATAGACTCAAACATGCCTCCTGTATCTCCGATTGTCAACCCCTCGTTTCCTTTGCCCTTGTCAGCTCAAACGTCGCACATCACGAGGAGGACGCGTAAGGTGGATGGGATGAGCCCGCGAGTGGCCCAGCTCTGCCTCGCTTTCGAGCCGGAAGGCAATCATCCTGGCGTGACACAGGTCAGTGCTCTGCTGGCACAGAAGATTCCTCACTCTGACTCTCCGGCAGGATCCCCTCCTCCTGATCAACAATGACCACTCTGTTCATGTCTTCGCCGGCTCCGAGAACATCAAGACAAGCGTTGAAGCCCAAGACGGGGACCAGGAAGCTGCGGGATCGTCAGCTTGCCAGAGTCGTGAACGCTGTCGCGAGGTATGGCGACCTGCCGTGAGGTTGCTAGAGAGTGACGCGTGTGGAGGGGGGGGAGACAGGAGGGGAGGAATCGTCTTCCTCTTCCTTGCCTCAAGGAAGCGATGAGGATGCACCAACGGAGCGGTTGGACCAAGACTCGCATAGACGTCAAACAGAGGAGAATGGGAGCTCGTGGTCGTTCAGCTGTGCGATGAAGCAAGAACAGAGCACGTATTTGCTGAAGATGATGATGCAGATGATGCTGTGTTGTAGTTGATGATGATGCGGTGATGGTGGTGATGGTGGTGATGGTGATGGTGGTGGTGGTGGTGGTGGTGATGATGATGATGATGATGTGTTGGTGATGACATTCCTTTGCAGGTGCTGGGCAGTGAAGATTGACGAGCTTCGCATCGATGAGCTTGATAGTTTGATGGAGCAGGAGCTCTTCTATCCCTTTCTCTCTCTGTCTGTCTTGATGCAAGGATGTGACGTTCCTGTCGACCATGCGGCTGCTGCAGGACTGGAGTTGGACACTTCCGACTTGCCTCCTACTCGCCTGCTTCTTCCTCCCCAGAGATCCACTGGCCCTCCTGTCCTCCTCTTTGACATTGATGAGGCTGGTTCCTGCTCCTCCCCTCGGGTCTCCGAGCAGTATGCCTGGCTGGAGCACTTCGAGCTGCGAGCTAGTCAGCCCGACATCAACCCCACAGACGGCGAGGAGGTGAGGAGAGTTGAGCGAGGGAGAGGTGCGAGCGAGGACATGAGACGGACTTGAGGGAAAGAGTAGGGTAAGGAGGCGAAGCCTTGAACTAGTAAACGAGGGAATGAAGAGAGGAATGGAGATCTTGGAAGAGGAGCAGAGAGAGGACAAGGAACTGAGCGTGGCAAGGGAGGAGGAGCTCGGTCTTACCCTCATGCAGCCGGACGAGCATTTGCGCCTGCGCATTCCACTGGATGGTCAAGATGTCACGATCTTGGTCTCACTACGTGGGCTGAATGGAGCAGGACGAGAGATTGCCGTCGCCTCCGCCACGGTGAGGCCTCGCGTGTCAGAGGAAGTCTGAGACTAGGAGCAGATGGCGCTCGGACGGGAGCAGCACGTGCGTGAGTGGCTGCCGCTGGAAGTTTTCAGCTCGTCTCTTGCTCACGTGAAGATGCGAGTCCATGTGTGCGCGTCCTACTCGTCAGTAGCTGCGGGATGGGATGAAGGCGCGCGGGAGGAAGAAGTGAGATTCCCTTGCTCCCTCCTGCAGCTGACGATGTGCAGGAGGCAAGCTCCAAGGCGATGCTGCGGACCAGCCTCGCAGCTCTGCTCCACGACAACACGAACCAAACAAGTCACGTGAAACGAATCCTTTCCTTTGACGAACACGAGGACAAAGTCTTCCAGCTGACAGAAGCGTGTCAGGTCCTCCTCCTCCTCCTCCTCCTCCTCCTCCTCCTCCTCCTCCTCCTCTGTAAACATCTTCTCCTCGCCTTAGCTTCCTTCTCTCCCTCTCCTTTCCGTCTTGTCACCTTCGAACATCCCCAGGCGCTTCAGTCTCGTCACGAGACGAACTTACAACTGATCGAGAGACTTTCGGAGGAGTTGAAGAGACACAAATCCGACGAGGACAAGCGAGAGGGCGCGAGGCAGGAGCAGAAAGAAAAGTCGAAGGTGAATGCAGGAGGAGGCAAAGAGAAGGAGGGGAAGTAGGAAGTGGTGGAGTGGAAGAAAGGATCGAGATGAATGGTCGAGGTGGCTTGTGAGTTGGTGTGGAGCTGAGGTGAAGGGGCGAAGAGAACAAGAGGACGTGTTGAGCAGGCGGCTGGATGGCGAAGAGAGTGAGAGGAGATAATGAAGAGGGCGAGGAGACCAAGGGAGGGAACTGATCGAGTTGGCTGATCAACTTCAGCTTGAGGAATACGTAAAGGAGCTTGAGATGTCTCAGAAAGCTGCTGCGATCAAGGAAAGAGAGACTCGAATCGCCGCTGAAGTAACCCGCCTCCTCCCTCCTCCCTCTCCTCCTCCTCCTCCTCCTCCTCCTCTCCCTTCCCTCTCCTCCCTCCCAACTTGCTCTGCCTGTTCGAGTCCAGTTTCCCCAGTTCCTTCCTCACTCCCCGACTCCTCCTCTCACCCCCCGCCTCGTCACATGTCCTGTCCTCTGCTTCTCTTCGCTCCTCGTGCAGGTGACGAATCCAGCAGAAAGCTGAAAGGCTGCTCGCCATGAACGAGGAGGCGCACAAGGGGCGAGCAACGTCGCTGCTCTTCGAGAAGTTTGTGATCAAGCTGATACACGCTGAGGAGGTGACGAGAGGGAGGAGGAGGGAGAACAGATGGCAGGGGGAGGGAGGAAGGGAGGAGGGAAGGAGGAGGGAGAACAGATGGCAGGGGGAGGGAGGAAGGGAGGAGGGAAGGAGGGAGAACAGATGGCAGGGGGAGGGAGGAAGGGAGGAGGGAAGGAGGAGGGAGAACAGATGGCAGGGGGAGGGAGGAAGGGAGGAGGGAAGGAGGAGGGAGGAGAGAGACGAGGAGGAAGTGCCAACTGCGTTTCACCGGAGCTTGGCAGATGAGGAGGGTAAAGACCTGCGTGCGCGAGCACCAGGTGATATCTGTGAGCGGCTTCAAGGAGCGAGAGAGTTGGGTGAGAAGCATCGTCGACGAGCAACGAGATCATATCGCAAGACTGGCGGTAGGAGGAAATGGAGAGCTCGACCCGTCCCTGACGATCCTCGGCTCCTCCTGCTTTTCCTGCTCCTCAGAATCAAAACGACGCTCTCTCCACCGATCTGGACAAGCTGAAGGAAGTCCAGGCGAGCTTGTTGGAGAGATTGCAAGCAACAGAGGAAGAATGTCAAGTAAGATCCTGCTCTCCTGTAATCTCCTCTCCTCTCCTCTCTTCCGCCCTCCTCTCCTCTTCTCCGCCTCCTCTCCTCTCCCCTCCTCTCCTGCCTTACTTTAACGTCCCTTACCTTTTCCGCCAATTCTAACCCATATCTCAACAGATCTCTGAGATGGAGATGCGATCGAGGCTGGAGAAACAATTTGCAAGAGAACTTTCTCGTGCTGTCAACGAGGCTGTCAGTCCCACTACTCCCTGCTCTGTCCTCCCCTCTCCCTCTCTCTCTGTCGCGTCCTTCTCAATGGTCAACAGGTCGTCAGTGCGTTGAGGCGAGGAAAACAAGAGGGGAAGGAAGAGGAGGACAGGAAACGAAGGCAGATACATTTGATGGAGGTAAGAGAGGGAAGGTGGGAAGGGGAGGAGCAAGAGGAGGATGGGGAGAGGAGGAGCGAGGAGCTAGAGAGGAGGGATCTTCTGCCCTTCACCTTGTCACCTAGGAGTCTTCGCGCCTCTCCCGCCTTCGCTCGCTCCTCGACGATCTGACCCGCTGCGCTGCCGACGCCGCTCTAGTGCATGCAGACATGCGGAGACAGCATGACGAGATGAAAGGGGAGGGTGACGTTGCCAGCACAAGGGCGGGTGAGCAGACAAGGACCCAGTTGAAAGCGGAGGAGGAGGGCGAGGTCGATGATGAAGAAGAGGAGGACGAAGAGGACGTGGGTGAAGATGATGAGGCAGGCGTGCGTCGACCTGGTCTTGTTGCCTCCCACATGCACGCGGGAGGTTTTGACACGTTGTGAAAGGATTGTCGTCAGATGGTGACAAGATGAATGGAGAAGAGGAAGACGAACGAGAAGTCCCGGAGCATGTGCTGCTCCATCGCAAGCAGGTCGCCTTGCAGCTTGCCCGACGTGCTCATGCCTTTCTCCTCGGGCGTGCAGACCTTTCATCCGTCGCACAGGCATGTCAACAAGCATTTCCATTCCGTGCTCTCTCCTCTCTCCTCCAACTTCCCTCTCTTCCTCTGCCTTCTTCTCTGCTCTCTGTTTCCTCTCCCTATTCCCCCTTCCCTCTCCTCCTCTCCCCTCCCGCCGTTCTACTCTCTCCTCTTTCCTCCATCCCGTCTCCCCCTCAGCACTTGTTGACCCAACGGCCTCGCCACGCTCATCGTCCCCTTCTCTCTCAGGTCCTGCACAGCATGAATCGCAGCAGCGGGGATCACCTCCGAGCGTTCGACCACGAGGAGGAGCCGGCGGCCTGTCGGTCATCCGGAGACAGCAAGGGACCTCAGCAGTCGTTCTCGAGAAGGTAGAGACGCTGGCAGAGGAGCGACACTGAATCATGGGCTGCAGACCGATGAAGCGCGACTCCTCCTCCTCCTCCTCTCGTGTCTTCTCCTCCGTCATCTCCAAGTCACTGGAGACTCTCGCGAGGAGGAAACGAGAAGTTGCGTGTGCTCGCCGTGCGGCTGCGATGCTGCGGGAGGGAAATGACGACAAGTTGTCCCTCCTGTCTCCCTGGCTCGGCACTGAGAGCTCGACTGAAGCCTCGTCCTTCCCTGTAAGAGCCAACATGAAGCTGAAAGACCAACAGCAGGAGATGCTCGGAGGGAGGGGGGGGGTTGGCAACAAAAGAGCAGAGGAGGAAATGAGAGGGGGAGAGGACTGCAAGGACACTGACAGTGACTTCAACGAGGTGCTGGATGCCAACTTTACAGCTCGCAAATGGACCGAGGAAGTTTTCCGCCTCTTCAACATGAAGCTCCGAGATCCTCTTCCTCCTCTGCTGCCTGCGGAGGAACGAGCGGAGAGTGCGGGAGGGGGTGGGAAGGTGCCGGCAGACGCGTCGGGAATGAAGCATGCTACTGTTGCATCTGCTTCCTCTAAGCCCGGGAGGCAGCGAGAGGAGCTCACGTACAGCAGAGCCACGGCAGGCAGCAGATGGGAGGAGGGAGGGACGGGAAGTCCGCGCTCTAGCCCTTCAGGACTCACGTTTGTGCCTTTGAGCCCATGACAACGCGGGAGACTGAGAGGAGAGCAGGTCGAGATGGGAGAAGATGGAGGAGGAGAACAAGCTGCTGCGCAGCCGTTTGCTGCATCCCAAGGAGGAAGACGAGAGGGTGAGGGGGTGGAAGGGGAGTGAGAGCCTGTGACTGCATACCAGACGTGGAGCAGTGCGATGGAGGAGATGAAGACATGGGGAGATAAGCTGAAGAATTCCATGCGATAGCACAGCGAGGATACTCAGCAGCGGCAACAGTTCCTTCCGTCAGTCCCCGCGTGATCTCACGCGCCATTTATCATTAGCAATATCTTACACATGTACAATCATGACAAAGCTCAGCTCTCTCCTCGGAGCTCAGGTTGTTGCCGTCTGACTCAAGAGCTCGCACAAGCCTGTCCGTCTTCTGCGATCGCTTGAGCTGCTTCTCCTGCTCCTCCACCTTCCCCAGCTCCTTCTTTGCCGACTCAAGCTTCTGCTTCTCCGCCTTCAGCTTTGACTGCGCTGCAACTGTGTCACCCTGCGCCTTTGCCAGTCGCTGCATCAAAATCTCTGCCGCCTCCTCGGCGTTCTTCACTTCCTCCGCGTCTTTCTTCAGTTTATCCTTGTACGCTTGTAGTTTCTTGCCCACGTGCTCGGTCTCCTTGTAGTGTTGCAGCAGCTGATTCTTCTGTTCTATCAGGCTCTTGGTTGTCTTCTCTAGCGCCGCTCGCTGGGCCAGCAGCTGCTGGTCTTTCCTTTGTAACATAGCAAGCTCTTGTCCGCGATCGTACGCTAGGGGCTCCATGAAGCGCAAGTTAATGCAGTACAATGCAAGGATTGCATTGAGACAGATGGATGCTCCGAGCAAGGCGGCTGTGAACTTACCATGACGAGGGCGACTCCTGCCAGGCATGGCAAGCATCACTATGACTTGGCAGGGTTTCTCGTTTCACGAGGATATCAACTGAGATCCTCAACAGCAAATACAATCTCAACGTCATCTCCTTGCACACGCCAATCGTCTGGTTCTCTTGCCTTCAACTGGTGTCTTATGCTTGTCTGCTCCCTTCTCCTCACTCTGATACCAGACCTCAAGGCAAGCAGACCACCCCTCTCCTCTTGCGTTCCACCTGTCTTCAGCTTTCTCCTCCTTCCCCATTCACTCCTTCCTGGTCCTCCTCCTCCTCCTCCTTCCTGGTCCTCCTCCTCCTTCCTGGTCCTCCTCCTCCTTCCTGGTCCTCCTCCTCCTCCTTCCTGGTCCTCCTCCTCCTTCCTGGTCCTCCTCCTCCTCCTCCTCCTCGCTTCACCTCTGTATCAGCGCTGACGATGCCTCCATGACTCCTCGTTTTGATACATGTACCCCCCCTGATCACCTCGAATGGACCCTACCCCAAAATATTGGTTTGGTTCATAACTAATCCAATCTAAACCCCGCAGCTCAGGTCGGAAATCAAGGAGTCTTGGGGATACAGGGGGAGGGGGTAGTAGTTAAAGTACCGGTATATTTCCATTAAGGTTAGGGGGAAGGTAGGGGTACACAGAAACAACTAGGGGTGAATGTGAAGACTAGCGGAAATAGGTTATGATCGTCGTTCATGAAGGGTAGGGACCTTGATTGGTGGGTAGGGGTGATGTGATGACGGGTATTTTTGTTATACAAAATGAGGGTATATGTGTATATTATTATTGAAATTGGGGGTAGGGGTACTTCATTTGGATGGAAGGGTGGGATTTCAACTTCCGGTGTTACTTTTGGCGAATGGCACATGGCTGAGGAGGATGAGGAGAGCAGTTGTAGAAGTAGCAGCAGCAGCAGTATGATGATGATGATGATGATGGTGGTGGTGGTGGTGGTGGTGGTGGTGGTGGTGGTGGTGATGATGATGATGATGATGATGATGATGATGATGATGGTGGTGGTGGTGATGATGATGGTGATGATGATGATGATGGTGATGATGGTGATGGTGATGAAATAGAAAAATAGAAATGAGGAGGAGGAGGAGGTTGTGGTGGTGGTTGTGTTGGTTGCGGCGGAAGTGGAAGGGAGCTGCGGAGGTGGGGAGGGTGGTCGTGAGGTAGAGTATGAGGGATGAAGGGGATGGTGGGGAGAGGGTACAGTTGTAGGGAACGAGGGGAGGGAGGGGACAGGAGGGTGGTTGGGGACACACGAAGGAGTGCAAGGGAAGGAAAGAGTAGCCTTTGGAATGGGAGGGAGAGTTAAACGTGCTGGAGGTCGAGGAAAGAGACAAGCACTACAGGTAACTCAGGGCAGGCACAGAAAGGAGAAGAGGGCGAAAAATCAATCATGAAAGTGAAAGACAAATGTGAAGATATGCTTGTCTTGCCTTGGCAACAGGAGGATTGGAGAGGGGTTGCGAAACATGATTGAAGTTTTCTCAGATGTTCAAGGAGATCTTCGGCTACCACAAATACCGAGTGAGGCGTCGAGAAGTAAATCACCAGCAGATGGTATAAACTGCCTGACCCTCTCGCTGCGAGCTGACATGAGGCAGCTGGCGGACCTTAACTTCTTCATCCCTTACAACATGACGAAGCCTGAGGACAAGGTTGAAACCTACACAGGCAGCACCAACCCCGGAGACGTCTGGTCCTTCGAGGTCGATGCTCCCAAGCCCTTCCCTGGCGCCTCCTCCTTGGTCGCGGGCCTGGACGACTCAGGGCAGCCGATCACCAACGCGAGCCAGTCGGGATGACGACAAGAAGCGATGACTTGAAGCCGCTCTTGATTCTGACCCAGGTGTAGACTGAGATAGAAGCGAATGAAGCCCCTGATACGACCTGGGGGAGAGGGAGAGAGAGGGAGGGAGAGGGAGGGAGAGGGAGGGCAGACAAGCAGCGTACGTGTTGATCAAGCTCGTTTCACTAGCTCTTCTCTCGCTACGGAACAGCCGGCGCCAGCTCCCTGTCACTTTTTCCGGGGGTGACCTCCACACGAGATCTTGCGAAGATCCGTCACGCGAGCAGAGGAATGTAGAGCAGCTCACCTTCCCTCCAGCAGCATCCCAGGGCATGACGGCGCTCAAAGATCTCTTGGTCAACCTGCAGCCCGTGAGCCGTGCAGGAGGCAGAGCAGCACCTGGTTGACCTCAACGCACATCCCGCGTGGAAGGGGTTCAAGCACGTCTCCTCCTGGCATGTCAAGCACCACCCCGACTTGGTGCCGCAGAGGTAGCAGACGTGACTCCAGCGCGACCGATCCAGCTGAGGGAGAAGATGAGGCGCGAAGAGCAGTTCCTCGTGTCACCTGGTCCAGCCCAGATATCTCGTCGCGCCCGATTTTCAGCTCGGGGAGGAAGCGAGCACAAGTGATGTGCGCCCATCGCCCGTCCGAAGTTGGACGAAGAGCTCCGAGCTTACCCTGACAAGAGTGAGACGAAGAGAGACAGAGCGGGGAAGAGAGGAGAGGGGTAGAGGAGAGGAGAGCATAGCGGGGTGAGGGGAGCGAGGGAGCAAGCGTTTGATCCACCTGAGGGCAGAGGGCACAAGATCGATTTTCCTGTTCGATGTCGTAGCAACATGGGTCGCACTTGAATCCTACTTGCGCGACTGCTCGGATGCTCGCCTCCTTGTCCAGGAAATCCCCGAGGTAGCAATTGAGATGGACAGTCAGCCCTGACAGCAGCAGAAGCGTGAGCATCGCACGAGTATCCTCTCTTCCTCCTACCACATCGGCAAACCTCCAGCGGTGCTTCTTTCGACCTGCAGATCTCGCAGTGCTTCTTTCGCTTTCGGGGCTCCTCCCACTGCTCGCTGCTTAAGCTTAAGAATTCCCCGAGCATCACTTCGTCCTCTCCCGCGGCGTCTTCTCCACTCCCTCCTGCTTCTCCTTGAGCTCACTTGAACGGGACGGCAGGGCACAGGACTCACTCTCCCCTCCTCCCTCGGTCAGGCCATCTGGTGAACTCCCCGTCACTTGCAAAGCTTGCTCCATCCCACCGCTGATGCCTTCGGATCGACATGCCGGGGGTGCGGGAGGTTGAGAGACTGAGAGGAATGAGCTTGTTGACATCTACAGCTGAAGGTACCTGGTACTAGCGCCCCCGCGTCACCATCCTGTCCACCTTCCTGCTTGACTGCCGGAAGCACCAGAGCCTCAGTCGCGTCCTTGTCGTTAAGCTGCTTCTGCTTTCTTCCCTTGAGCCTCTCCCCTGCCGCATCATCTGCCGCACCGTCAGCTCCCCCCATTCCCTCCTTCAACATCTTCATCTCTCACTTGCAAGCGAGTTGAAACCCTCGTAGGCCTGGAAGGCGTTTCCCCGAGGGACGGGAGACTTCTCCGACGTCTCTTGCAGCACCAGCGTGAAGAATCGCTGCACAACTGAGGGAGGGTCGAGGCACCAACTCTTGGGCTCCTTGTCCCTGCTCTTTGTCACCCCACAGGCATGCTGACAAGGCTCACCTCAGGATCGAGCGATGATGCTCCTTGAGCGCCACGTTGCACAGGTGGGTCTCCAAGAGAACCTGCAAGAGGCTCAGAGGCTCTGCCGGTCAAGTCGACGAGGACGACCTGAGCTTTGCTTCCATCATCCCACGTCACATGGTACCAGGCCTGATCGCTGCTCAAGTACTTCTGCGAGTTGTTCTTCCCCCCAAGCACTCCCATATATATACAATTTTCATCCCACCTGTAAAGATTGAGGGCAGACAATGAGCTCGAGAAAGGATCAACAAGAACAATCACTTGTAGCTGATGTTGCACTTTTTGAGATCGAGATCGGCCACATGCTGTTTCGCCGTCTCCAACAGCTTGTTACACAGAGCGTCGTCCTGGCCAAGTGAGGAGAGACGGCAAGTCTGAGCGTGACTGCCGCTGGCGCTCCTGTTCTCTTCTTCACCCACGTCACCAGCCTCCTCTTCTCTCCCTGAGATGTTCCACCCACAGCTACTGCGAGGGTAGAGCATGTGCATGAGCTCGACCTCGGAGAGTTCGAGAGACACGAGCTCCCTTGAGGGATCTTTCAACTCGTTCAGTTCCGCCTTCACAATCATCAACCTCGTGGCTTCTTCGCTTTCATCCTCCTCCTCCTCTTTATGCGTCTTCTTCACCTTCGTACCACGAGCAGCAGCTTTCTTGTACGTTCTCGAGGGTTTCAGCACGCTCGTCCCCGCGTCTTCTTCTACCCCTTTATCTACGTTACTCCTTGGCATTCGATTGCTTGCAAGGCTTTCTGTCTTCCTTCTCTTGATTCTACCAACAGTCTTGCTCAGTGGCTCATGCTCCTGCTCCTCCTGCTCCCCGTCAGAATGTTCGGACAGCGTGATCTCAAGAACGTCGAGGGACCTCTGGTGCTCTAGCACAACAATGGAGTATCAGTCCTCGTTCAAACCTCGAACTAAGGATCACCTTGGTGGTACGCCGAGTCAGGAAGATCCCTGGGATCAAGAGCCGGTTGCTCCTCGGCCATGGTCAACGACGGCACTTGGCTGTCCAGAGGGACAGGGAACAGATCATGTGCGCTGGCCCTCCTGTCCATGATGTCGGGGCTGGCAAGGGTTCGTTCAGGTGCAAGGGGTCAGCATCGCCCTCGGACGTTCGCTCAGGGCTGCGATGGCTCTCATCGTCGCAGCTGAATCTGTCGTGCTCCTCCTCCAACCCGGACAGCTCCAGGAACTGGTTCTGCGTTGTTGATAACCCTTCATGTAGATCCATATCGATCGCGAAATCTTCTCCCGCCAGGCATTCATCCCCGTCTGAGATGTTTTTTACCTTGAAGCTTGTCTTCGCCTCTTCCATGCCCTCGCGCTCCTCCTCCTTCACCCCCATCGTGCTCTTCATACCCTCATGTGCCGCCTCCATTATCGCTTCCGTGCTTTCTTTCTTCCCCCGCTTGTCCGCCATGCCCATCTGTCCGTCCTCCTCACCCTCCTGCCCTTCCTCCAAGACTTGATTTCCCTGCTTCACGCTCTCCCTCGCCTTGTCCGTCATTTCCTTCCCCTCCTCCTTGCCCTCTTGTGCGCCCTCCATGCTGTCCCCCCCGTAATCCTTGCTGTCCTTCCCCTCCTGCGTCATCCCCTTTCCCTCCTCCTTGCTATCCTTCCCCTCCTCTGTGATCTCTTCCATGCTCCCCTTCCCCTCCTTGCCCTCCGGTGAGTGATCCATGCTCTCATGTGAGTGATCCATGCTCTCATGTGAGTGATCCATGATCTCATGTGAGTGATCCATGCTCTCCTTCCCTTCTTCCATGCTCTTCTTGCCCCCTTCCTTGCTGTCCTTCCCCTCCTCCCCCTCCTCCACGCCCACCTTCGACTGATCCATCATCTCCTGCCCCTCATCCATGCTCTCATGTGAGTGATCCATGCTCTCCTTCTCCTCTCCCATGTTTTCCTTCTCCTCTCCCATGCTCTCCTTCGCTCCCCTTGACTCCTTCAACTCAAGCGCTTGCGGTCACATTTCTTTGGAGACTCATTGGGCAAGCTCGCCTCAGAATCTTTGATGAGTAAATTTATTACTCACTTGACTTCCCTCGAGGTCACCACCCCCACCCCACCCCCAGGAAGGGCTCGGGAGCCCCTCGGAGTTGTCAAAAAGCCGTACGACCCCTAGTTCCGACGAACAGGAAAATGAGGGGTAGGGGTCCCATCGGAGGGTTCTGAAGTTCCGGGGGGTAGGGAGGATTTGAGGCCTTGAAGTTCGAGTTAGTTAGTTTCAAGTTTGGAGGGTAGATGGGGGTAGGGGTAGTTCGTGGACCGGTGCAGTGAACAGAGTTGCACTGTTTTTAGGTAGAGAGCGCTAGAAGGGGTGGGGTGGGTAGTCGAAGCAAAGGCCAACATGTTTGACCCTGAGCCTGAGTGCGGCTGCGACAATGAAGTCTGCAAGGGGTGAACGAGAACTGCTGGCTCAGGATGCCAGGGATGAGGGTGAGGAGGATGAAGATTTAGTTGAGATGTTGGTGATGATTCGAGATCAAGAACATGGCAAGCTATGAGTCTGAGCTTCATTTCACCCCGTTATAGCCCGGCGTAAATGGAGAGTCGGATTTTGCCGTGGGCCGCCATGTACCAATACTTGAGCTTGAGATAGCATACAAGCTGCCTGAGAGAGAGATAGAGTGATGGCAGAAGGAGCCAAAATATCACCGTCCCTGAACGTGATCTAAACTCTCAGCTTGTACTTGCGTTTCTTGAAGATGATGCAGAAATTCCTCACGAACAACGTGCTTGTCGTTGCTCTGATACCTTATTGCAGGGACCCCCTGGGGTTCAAACTCGGAAAACTTCAACGCCCACCCACTCCGCGCAGGACTTCGGTCATGCGCATTGAGATGACAAGAGACCTTGGGATGAACTGATGTGTAGTCATCCCCATTGACATCTGAAAATGGATAAAGACCTCAGTCGAGCTTTGTTCTCGCCGGGCCCGATCGCGCTGGCGGACATGACTGAGGTCCTGATTGGCGATGATTTAGCATCGCTGGCAGACACCATGTGCTCTCCAACACCCCCAACATCGCTCACCCAAACAAGCGCCTTGAAGGGGGTCGCTCAACGTGATGCTAGTTTGCCGGGACTCAGTCGAAATCATCTCTCAAAGGACGCGCCAGACGAAGTTGCCTGGCTGGAGGAACAAGAAGCCGTGATGCGAATGTAAGACTCCTCCACTTCTACGATCTTTTCTGATCAGATTGAATGACGATTGTGCTAGGCTTCAAGAGATGGAGATAAGGAGGAGATTTGATGTACACAAAGAGACTGAAAGAGGACGAATAAGGAAAGAGATCAGGCTCTCAAACGCTCAAGAAGGTTTTTTCTTCTTGTTCTTTGTCGTTACCGACTACCAACATTGAAGCAGCCAAGCACCACCCTTCAGGAGTGAGTGACGATACGTCAACTCTTGGAGAGTAAGGAATCAAATATTGTGCGGTGCCATGAAAGTATCATCTGATGATTTTCAGTTTCAAAGGAGAGTTTCATTCAAACATCAATAGACCTGGGCTGATGAAAAGAATGCTCGAGTGGGCTAGGCATCTAGGATTGAGGCGGAAACACAAGGCGTACAATCGGAATGTGGTATGTATCATAATGCTTCCTCAAGGGACATTGGCCCTCATGGTCATGTAGACTTCGGACGGGAGGAGACTTGGTACTGCGTCAGTCGAAGCAGAGGTGGTCCTTGCGAACCATTCGAGGTAACAAGATTTAGAATTCCTCCATGCATCACAAACGCTGAATGCATACCAGAGTGACAGTCCTTGACCATAACTTGGAGAGCCTTATGATGAAAGATGCGTGACAACATCTTGTGCTTGTATTATAGTGAGATGAATGTAGAGCGAGAATTCAAAACACTCCCATATAAATTTCAGTTGTGCAATGATGAAATTAAACAAAAATTTCGAACAAATGAATCGAGGCACAAAATGGAGATTCACCCTTGTGACCTCCAAGCTCAAACTACACTCTTGGCAAAAACTTTAAGACCGCGAGAATGTTTAGTATCTGTCGCGATCGTCATGGCCATACCTGAAAACACCATATATGTCAATCGCAGACCGTGCAAACCCTCAGAGGAAGGAATAAAACAAGATTACCTCCTGCCTCCGTCTCCGTAACTGTAAAAAAGAATCAGCGGTCTTGTAAAACAAAATATTTGAGTCTCACCGATCGCCTCCTCCTCGACGTCCGTCACCACGGAAGCCGCCTGAGCGCATTCCACCGCCACCGCCACCGCCTCTCGGACCATCTCCACGTGGCCTTGACATGTTCACGCGGATGTTTCTTCCCATCCACTCAACATTGTCGGTTTTGGAGATAGCATACTCAGCATCAGCGATCGTAGAGTAGGTGACAAAGCCAAAGCCACGACTCCTTCCTGAAGGCAGATCCAGCAACGCTCAAGACAAGAACGAACCAGGATACAACAGGCAAGCATTCAGAATCTCTAGATCAATCTCTCTGATACATCCCACGCACATGGCCAAAAAGAAAAATCGAGAAAGGAGAGAGGCAAGAACAGAAGAAAGACGGCAGAACTCTCGGTCGCAAGCTCCCTTCGACAACATCGTATCAGAGGAAATGCTCGATCGCAGGGGAGGCTCTCATGCTTTTCAACAATCTCGTGCTAGGCGCCAATCAATCTCAAACGGAAAACTTGGCCTTCCCATGAAATCATCTCTGATGTACAAACAAAGCGGGCTCAAAATTTCGGATCATCGAACCAGGATCATCGCGGTCCATAATCACGGTGGTGTCGTCAACTTTGCCAAACTGCAGCAAGTCGTTTAGGAAGAATGACAGTTGAGCAAGGTTGGAGCTTACCTGACTGAAGTACTGCATGAGATCTTCTCCCCTCGTGTCGAAAGAAAGATTTCCGACGTACAACTTGGTGCCGCCGTCTGCTCCAGCTGGACGGTCTCCAGATTTGTACGAACCACGGTCGTCCCTGCGCCTTGGGGGGCTCTTGGACCTTGAGCGAGATCTTCTTTCCATCTTCTTGAGTCTACACAAATCCATGAATCATCTCTCAACCCCAACCCAAAGGAACGAGCCAAGTCATTGACCATCAACTCAAGAGCAAGACCCATGGGTGCAGGACGAGCGAGGGTATGGACAAAGAGCGTGCAGGTCTGGTTGGAAGCAGGGGCAGTGATGAGGGATAATCTCTTGTCAAGGGACGGCAGAGGAGAGGAGGGGCCGAGGGGAGGAGGAAGGGAGGAGGAAGCATACCGACGAGGAGAGCGGCAACGAGTGCTGAGAGGGCTGCAGGGAACTGGGGGACTAAATGCAGGGGAATCTAGTACCAGAGAATATAAACCAGTACAAAATGAGAGCTCAGGTACCAATAAATTTGAATATAAAAGTTTACTCAAAAACATCTTCTTGTACCCTCTTGTTACAGCAACAGGTAAATAATTAGGTAGATATGTACAGATTGGCTATGTATCCAGTACCACATCCCTTCCTGGTACAAATTCAGTCCATGGGGTGGGACCTGCAGGGATTATCCGGGATCCTATGCTACCTAGGGGTCCTAGAGAGGTCCTAGTGAGATCATGAGCCACAGCCGTAGTCCCCGGTTATGATAATTGAAATTTCCTATGACCAGCTGTCTTAGTAGCGCCCGTAGCCTGGTAGTTTCAAGGCCCAGTCGGAAGTCCTGATTGTCCTCGTACTGATCTTTAACTTAACTTTGAGTAAAGGGCCCGACCCATCATCAAGGCTGTGCGGCCGGGCGGCGGCCCGGCTCGAGTGTCCGGGCCGAGCACACCGGGCGCCCGCGCGGAGTCGCCGGACTGGCGTGGCTCCGAGTCCCGGCGCTGACTCCCGCGGCCGGGCAGTGAGTCACGGGCCCGGTCAGTCCGATCGTCGGCCGCCGGGGCGGCCGCCGGGGCCGTACGGTATGGTCCGATCGGACTCCGGGTCCGGACCGTCCGGATCAGTGCCGGTGACGGACCAGGACTGACCTGTCCGGATCTGATTCAAGTCACTGATGAGATTAACTTTGAGTAAGGAGACCTCGGCACTGCCGCAAGCGTTCCAGTGGTCACGGGCCCCAACAGGCGCGAGCCGGTGTAGCCCTGCGAGACGGGTCACACCTCGGGCCTCCGAATATCACCAGCCTACCCGTGGTCTGCCCCGAAATAGATAGGGGTGGGTCTGATTCAGCTGCCACTCCGGCGCACTCGCAGGCCGCATTGTCATGGCCCTCAAGGGGTGGGTCAGCCTGATATAGTAAGATGGGGTGGAATAGATGGGGAGAAAGGGGGGGTGGGGGTGAGGAGAGGTCGTATCGAATGGAAGGTGCTGTCTGTTAAATCGACGAGAGGGACATGAGGACGGGTAGGAGATTGACTACAAGGGTGCAATGATGACTATAGGGGCTTCATGTGACTACAAGGACGAAGGGGTCGGAGATAATTTGACTATAAGGATGCGTATATGTATTATAGAGGTGAAGTTGATAGGTCTTATTGACTATAGGACACACTGAAAAAAGACAACTGGGAAGTGTCCTGCTCTATCAGTCGTACGGGCGTACTCAAGTGCGAAAATGGTTCGGCAGACCAGAAAAGTAAAGGCAGGCAGCCAGCAGGCAGGCAGATACTTTGGGAAGATAGGCATGAGGTAAAGTGAGAGCCGAATGAGAACGTGACAGCGCGATACAGACGATGGTGCATAGGGCACGATAAGATAAGAAAGATAGGACAAATCAGTTTGCTGAGAAAAGCATCGGGAAAAGCGAACTTAAGATAGAATGATCGAGACCAGACCGAGTCCTGCTTGTTGATTTGTTGAACCTAAAACAAACCTTTCGGACCGAATAAGCTTCCATGAAATGTTTATGGAGCGATGAGCATGATGGCGACAAGCATTGTGTTAGATGTCTGCAAACGCTCTTTTATGATAGTTGAGCATTTCAGCACCAAAAGTTATGAAGATATAGCTAGCTTCCCAGAAAACCTTATCGTTTTTATGAGAAATTGCATAGATAGGCATCTGTTGTCGTCAGAATATGCGAGCAGAAGTTGCTTGTTACCTTGAAATGGCCCGCAACTATCTTGATGTTGGCATTAAAGATTAGCTTTGCTTTGTTTGACAGTGTGCTAATCACAGGTTTCGGCGCTCTGACAATGAGACATAGTCTGCGCAAATCAGCACGAGACCTGCAACCAACTTATTCTAAATCGAACAACAACGTTATCATTCCACGGCGGAAGGCTGGAGAATCAATGCGATCAGATTCTTCGCCTGTTGTGATTACTGCAAAAACTTTAGAAAATTTTTATTGCATGCCGTTGAAGGAAGCTGCTTCCCGTCTGGTGAATGAAAGCTTTGCAATAGAAGTTCCTTGCTGATGCGAAATTTCTCAGGGTATTTGTGTAACTTCCATGAAATCAGCCTGCAGGAAGTTCGGAATAAGAAGGTGGCCCTTCCGGCGGTTTCATCTTATGAACATGGGGCAGCACTCGGCAACTCAGTCAACGATGTGCCATCGCGTTTCGAATGATAATGCTTTTGACTCCTCAGAGCATACAACAATGTCATTTGATGACTCTGAAGCTGCCTGGACGGCTCAACTGCTAACTGAACGACTAGTGAATCACGATAGCATCTTGGATCGCCCCAGTGGTCGGGATGATCTGCAAGTCCAGAAACAACAGATTGACAAGAATAGAAACATCTCATTTCGTGGAGAAAACGTCAATGATTGCAAGATTTCAATTTTGAACCAATGGTCTAAGGTAACCGCTCACTACGTGATGTTCACACGTACTTTTCTTGACTTCCATACCAGATCAGCAAAGAGCCAGAACTTTTCATGCTTGCTTGCCGGCCCATGGGAGATTACGGTGCAAGATCTTTGATTAAGTTTTGAGTTACGATTCCTAATCTTCGACTTTGGGCAGGGTGGATGAAGAATGATCCGCCAGAAGACTCAGGCGACGATCTTGCATTTCTCGTTGGCGGAATTGATGTTTGCAACGTGAATTGAGTTGTTTTTGTTTGTTTTCCTCGTGTGTACTTAAGTGTGTGTTTACAAAATTTCTTATTTTACAAGTGTTTGATAGTAAGATCGTGTGAAAGATGTGAAATAAAATCAAGCCTTTCAAGGGCGTAGTGTGTGGCGAATATTGAGCTATATCTTTTGATCAGATTGGATCGGTGAAACTGACCTCTGATTGAAAATCGTGGTTCAGCTGCTCTAGCCTTACAAGAAGCCTGTTGGACGAGCAGGACCGTTTGTGACCTGAAAGCTTTCAGCGCAGCAATCTCTCTCATCATCTCTTACCATGTAACTTTCTTTCCGATCCTTCACCTGTTGACATGTCCTGCAAAAGAACGACTCGTGACAATACTTCTGGAGCTCGAGAAATTCTGACTTAGGGCTGAGCTCCTGCAAAAAACTATCAGGTGCAATCATCGCCTCTGAGTTAACTTTCCTTCTTCCATCGGAAATATTCCATGAAAGCAGCGCCGTCTTGGTCAAGTCTGCGAAGCTCTTGAGCCAAGTGCTGCACGGAATTAAAATTGTCCAGGAGCAGAACACAGTGCGAGCATGGGAGGAATTTATGCACGTTTGGCGCTCCTTTGTAGATGGGTAGTACTCCAGCCATCATGGCTTCGTAAATCTTCTCAGAGACGTAATCGTTGTCGACTTCGTTCTCTAGGACAAGTGCGAACTTGTATTGTCTCATGGACTTGACCTTTCCCTCTGTGCCTGGAGGAGAGATGGCATTGTTGAGAACCCTGCCGAATGACTTGACAGGCACAAGATCCATGAGCTCTCTCAGAAATCTGGTTCGCTCCCACGATGCTGCAGCATTGGAAATGAAAGCAGACACTAGTGCTTCAGTGGACCATTCGTGAGGCGGTGGGCGGTACAGATCCTTCCAGTCCGCATAGCTGCAGTACAGTGAGGGAACATGCGCAGACAACTTCCACGACACCTCGAAATCAAAGAGATGTCCTCTTCCTATTTTTGCCCACGACCAGAACAAGGAGTGCTTGTGCTTTGGCTCTCCTTCGAAGACTGCAAACTGTTGCCCTGCAGCTTTTGGAGGAAGAGATGCCTGATGCTCCTCTCTATTGTACATGCCAGCATAAAGCCACACCATATCTGCTACAGCCGCAAGACTTTGATTAGTCGTCCACGTGCATTCCCACCTCGAGCGGTTCCTGGAGCTTGTGACGGTTGCGCAAGTTTCACGAATCTCACTCTGCATCGACCATGCTCCTGTCGATCTCCATAGCCGAGGAGAGAAGATGCTTACACCTCTCCCTCTCTCGCTCGCCCTGCATTCTTCCGCTTCCCCGCTCATGTCCTGGTCCAGGCACTTGGCCATTGTCGCCAAGCTGGCGATCAGCATGAGGCGCCGCATCTGCATGCCTTCAGCAAAAGCTGCCTCAGAGTTATGGTTAGTAAATAGTGAGAGACAGCTGCAAACAAGTAGGAGGAAAATACAAATTCATCGAGGGCAGTAAAATATGACGTTACTGACGCCGGAGCCTGGCATGATGGCGAAGAGAAGGGAGCGCATGAATCTGTCGTGTGACCTCATGGAGCGATGATTGGCTCTAAGCTTGTCGCAGTGTTGTCTATCACGCCTTGAGACTGAAGACGCAAGTGGTGGCTATGCGGAGTCTTATCGAGAGCCACTAGCAACACGTTCGCCTGTCATGAGCAACAAGTTCGGCTTTCTTCTGCCTTCGGACTTCTTCATGGTGAGAGAATATCTCAAGTCATGGCTCGACGTTGCACAGAAGCATGCTCTTGAGAAGAGCATCGCTACAGCGGGGTGCAAGTTCAGCTATGGCTGGGCTACCACCAGGCTCATGAACAAGTGCTTTCTTTGCTGGCAGATGGCCGCGGTCTCGTCCTGCTGCAGCCGCTTGCAGGCTCTCAAGACGATTCTTCAAGTCTTCATCCCTAGAGCAAAGCTACGGGCTCTCTACCAATGTTTTGTGGTACGAGGAGCCGACAAGCTTGCTTGGCCTGATGCTTGTGTTGCAGAGATTTAGACGTGAATCAGCGCTGCGACGAGCAAAGAGGCTTGTGCGCCAGATAGATGAGACAGGAAGGATGCAGGAAGCCTTACAGCAAGCCTTGCATAAGTGGCAGGATGAGGCTCTATCCAAGCACAGGTCCTCGGCATACGGATACTCTCCTGCTTACTGGAGTCGATCCGACTCCGAGGAGCATGGGACGAATGGGATGCACTCGAGCATCGACAAGGAGATTGACAACCGCAGAGACAGGCGGCTGCTTCAAATCATTCTCAATACATGGCAGGAAGTCGCAGAGCGAAATACTAACAATTTTGCTCGTTGCCTATGGACCTTCTCTTGTTGGTGCAGGGAGGTAAATCGTGTCTGTCAGTATCGAAAAAAGCTACTGAAAGGAATCATAATGTCGAAGGCGTTCAATTTTATGCATTCATATTTTCAAGAATGGAATAAGAGCATCAATGCTCGTAGCATAAGGCTAAGATGAAACTTCAATAATTACGAGAATCTAATCACTTTTGCTTCTGCCAACGTCAACTCAGAGAGTCCCTACAATTCATCATTGTATGATGAAAGCATCATTTTCAACTCGAGATTATCATCCATGCTAGAAGGCATCGCGCAGTAGTCTTGGATGCTGTTCTCGTTGTCCTCTTGTACAGCAATCACGCGAATTGCAGAATTCTCATAGTCAAGGACCATCAATCTGATCTCAACAAGTCAGAAACTTGAGCTGTTTTGTGAACCACTGGCAAGACCTGCGAGAATCGATGACGTTGAGCGAGCACGGCATGTTGAAGCTGGCCTTCAAGAACTGCCAGAGTCTAGTCAAGGGACCAAGGTCAGATGAGAGTTGGATTCGTACCGTGCCATCGGAAGATCCTGCATCTCCTGTTCCTGCAAGTGTCGTGACTTGACCGGTGCTAAGATGCAGCTGGCGGATTCGTTGCCCTTCCATTTCAGCTATGAAAGCATACTTGCCTCCGGCTGATATCACAATGCTCATCGGAAATTCGAACCTGTATGTCGAATTAACGAAGCGAACAATCCAAAGTCAGCGATTCACGTTGCATTCGTTCCAAATCCATTGTCACTTCCGGAGTTTCCGTTTCCTGCTATTGTCGTGACTGCTCCAGTGGAGAGCGTCAACTTCCTGATTGCATGATTTCCCGCGTCAACCACTAAAACCTTCCATGAAATGTAAATTGCAAGACTCAGGCTCCAGCATCGCTTTACCTCTTCACCATTTGGAAGGAAAGCCACATCAGTTGGGCGATTGAAGGAAGAATTAACACCATTGTCAGCATCGTTGAAGCCTTGACTGTATGTCACGTTGCGATTTTGATTTCCTCCTGCTATCGTTGAAACAAGATTCTTGTCCTCCTTGCTCAACAGAACTTTGCGAATGCGATGATTTCCCGAATCTGCAACAAGTATGAAGGAACCATCGGGTGACATGGCCAAGCCTGATTGCAATTTGCATCATTAGTAAAAGAGATCATACTGGGATTCTTTATTGGACCTTCAGGATGGTTGAACAAGGCGTTTGGACCCTCTCCATCTGCAAATCCAGCACCAGAGTCATCGGATCCAGCGACGGTATCTACCACAGCAGGTTTGTCGGGGCTGAGAAAGGGCAGAGGACAGCATGAGAACAAGCCTAACCAAGTTATGAGCGATCAGCACCTTTCTCTTGTGATGATGCGGATGGCATGGTTTCCTCTGTCTGATACGCAAAGACCTGTACGAAGGCTCTGGACAGCCAACCCGCTAGGACTCCTATCATCATGCTCAGGTAAGCAGCAAGAGTTGCTGGCATGAAGTCACTTGAACTTGGCGGAAGACCCGATGCCATCTTTGTATCCTGCCTCTCCAGTTCCCGCCAACAAAGTCACCTGGGACACTACATCATTGCCCTTAACTGTTGTGTTGGATGACATGGTGAAGAGAATCATTACCGTGCCGGTGAATCTATCAAGCACGTAGATCTTATTACCCTTCTCATCTGAAATATAGATGTTTGGGCCCACACCAGTTCCCTCAATTGCTTTCGCCCGATTGAACACAGCGGCTTTCATGCCCGGATTCAATGCAAGATCCGTTTTATCATCTCCATCAATATCCTGATCGTCCGATTCAGGTTGTAGCAGACCTCGTACCTGTCAATTGGCATGTTACGCAGTGAGATAAGGCGAAGCATCAAGACATTGTCAGATTGAGGTCATACCGTGCAAACAGTTCCTTTCATTGTTTTGGCGTGCAACAAGCTGGCTGCGTGCAGCAAGAAAATCGAAACTAGCATGAGCCCACGCATCGTTTGACAGCGAAGCATGGAGCTCAACAGGTTGGTTCAGGGAGGAGGGCAGGGATCAGGGGAGGGAGGAGAGGTGGGGGGGGGAGCAGGGAGCAGGAGAGGCAGAGGGTTCAGCAGCTGCAGCGGCCGCTCCCTCCTTGCGAAAGATCGAGAAGTTTGAATCAAGTACTACCCGGCCCTACTCCAGGGGTGGTCGGAGGGAATAGAGGGGGTACAGGTAAAGTTGCATGCGAGGGGTTCAGTCTCTGAAGTGGAAAGAGAAAAAGCTCAGGGCAGCAATCAAAGTTCTCTATTGCACTTTTGCTGCCCTTCACATTGAGTAAATCATTCTCAGGGTTTGTTGCTTCAATGCATCGACAAGGCAGACGAGCAGCCTCGCGGTATCAGCGAGGGAGAGACATGCACGAGGGCGAGGAGGATGCAGAGACAGGCGACATGCGAGATGCAGAGACAGGCGACATGCGAGATGCTGGGAGAGGCGACATGCGAGATGGAGAGAGAGACGACAGGCGAGATGGAGAGAGAGACGACAGGCGAGATTCTGGGAGAGGCGACTTGCGAGGTGCTCGAGTGACTTCGATCGGTCGACAGCAGAGGGTTGAAAGTTGGTGGGAGACAATGCGGAAACAAGGAGACGAGGGGAAAAGTGCGATGCGTGACTGGGTATGGACTAATGTGGGAGTTCCGCTACAAGAAAAAGTTAGCGATGCGAAGATACACATCAAGGCAGCGTTGAGAAGTGCCGTGTTAGAGGTCAACAAGATAGTAGAAAACACTATGGCAACTCTGGTAGAAGGGCGAACTGGCAATGCCCGACGTGAGCAAAGACCTCCCCAGAGGTTGGAGGATGTAAACATCTGGGAGGAATTCTTCGGTGTGATGATGACTTGCGTTGATCTATCTCTCTGCGAGGGATGGTTGATCCCTGAGGACGTGAACGAGCCCTTCTTTCAACTAGGTGCCTTGAAGTTGCTCCTGTGACTCAGTCGAGGATGACTTGCACTTCCTCAGGCATGCCAGCATCTGCCGTAGCTGAGATTGCTCTGAGATCGCCGAGCTCTTCCTGTACAGAAATCGGGTCAGCGACTATCACGCCTGAGGATCTCATGATGGAGGAGTTTGAGGACATCAGGGATCTGATAGAGGAGGTCTGTTTGCCCCCGGCCCTTCTCTTGTTGAGGCCATTCAGGTACAGAAAGTCAAGCGGGAGATCGCGAGAGTGCGGCCGAATGAGGAGGAGCAGGAGTTCATTCGGAGGTCCGCGATCTGCGCAGGAGGGAAGGAAGTGCCCAGTGCCATCTCGTCGGTGGCTGATGACATGCCGCCTTGACGAGCGCGCTGTTGACGGATATCGCAGGATCGGAGGAGGGAGCTGAATGCAGTGCTCGCTTGTGTGCAGGTGCTGCTTGATTTGAGGGCAACTGTTCGTTTGGTTAACAAAGAGACTATGTGTTACAGCGCGTGGCAATCAAGCTGACGCAGAAGTCCTTCTACAAGGAGCAAGCAGAGGCGATTATGGAGCAGATAGCGCTTCGAGATCGTCTGTCCCACAACGGGAAGGTTAGAGTGAGTTTGGCTTGATGCTCTCAGATGAAAACGATTCCTCCCTGCAGGGCCTGCAAGGTGGCTCAACGTGAGGAGAGCGAAAGCAGATCAGACCTGCGGGTTGACCTTCAAGTTCCTGTTGTTATTCTCTTTCTCTACTTGTGGTTGAGCCGGTCCGTTCATGACCTTGATGGGCCTCGGCTCCGGGTTGTGGTGCTGAGGTGAGAATGAGGACTGCGAACGTCTAGCACCCAACTGCCTGTTACCTGCTCTTCAAGCTCCTTCTGCTCTTGTTTGTCCTCGGGTTTAGTTTGGAACAGCATCTCCTGTATGTACAATGTCGGTGTAAACTACGACTCTCACGCCTTCCATCACCTTCACGATCTGATGAACATCCTTGTTGTTGACTTTTCGCTTCTTCTGCTCTCGAGACTCCTGGGGCTGGCTCAGCGCTGCTCACACTCGCTGCCGCCTCACCTTGAGGCTGGTTCTGGTGAACTCGACGGCGAAGACATGAATGCCTCGTTGAAGATGGAGAACAACCTCCATGACAGGTCAGGGGGCGCAAGATGGAGGAACGAGGTACCTTGGTGCCGGCCTTCCCTTGGATGAGATGCTTCACCTGCGAGACCGACGCGCCCTTTCCTCTCCATCAGACCTCTTGCAATGAGGGAAGGGAGAGCAATCGGCAAAGCAGGCGGGTAGACAAACAGTACCTGGACAGGGGTCTTGTCTACTTGGATGATGAAGTCTCCCTTCTGGATCTTCCCGCTCCTGTCAAGAGCTGCCGTTAGAGGAACTAAGACATTTCATCCTCTTCCGCACTTGGCGGCGACGCTGCCAGGCTTCACGGCCACGACGATCAGCGGGAGCATCAGGCCCTGCAGATACACTCAGTTTCTATGAGGTTGGAGCTTCTCAGGGGCAGCTGACCTGACTAAATCCACCATCGATTGTGATTCCGATACCGACGGGCATGTCGTCCAAGGAGGAGCCGCTGACGGTGCTTTCAGAGAGTTGAAGAGGGTCAAGAGAAGGTACCTGGCAGCAGGTTCCATGGCGGTTCTCTTCTTCAATGCCGCACCTGCAATGGTCCCGATCACTTCAATCGCATACTCTTGGATCCTTCTTACCCCATTGCGTCCCGTTGTCGGCAAGCTTCATTCTCCCCGTCAACGACTTGAGTTTGAGGGCTCTACCATCACCGTCATCGACCAATCACACCTCGAGCAGAAGCACCTGCAGATAGCATTGCACTTGTGTTGCTGCAAGAACTGCCTGATTCCTTGCAGCCCAGCATTTCCCTTCCCTGTGCGAGCAATCAGTCCGACGAACTTGTCTCGGTCCTCGCGTCACCGAATCCTCTCCCATCGATGGTGTGGATCTGTGGGTCAGTCCAGCAGTCTCCTACGCCCTGAAACAATCCTCTCGTCACACGACGAGCTCCCTGCTCAAGTTCAGACCTGCAGATCGCACACGAGCAGGTTGTTCCCTGAGGCCTCCCAGGTCCAGTGAGAGAAGGCCTGAGAACCGTCAAGCACAGCGAGGGCACGGTTGATCATGTCAAGCACCTGTGGAGTGTTCCTCTTCTCGTCACACCAAGACCAATTGTCATTGTACTTGACGTACTCCCCCTGGTCATTCCAGCTACAACGTCAGGAATGACAGTGTGGACAAGAGATCGGCCGCACCTCCACAAACTTCTCCATGGTGCATGTCGGACGGAGCGGCCGGTCTACCAGGATGACAACCATCGCAGGAATGAATTCCACCTGATCATGAGAGTGAGAGGATGGGTAGACGTGCCTGTAGAAGGCAGGGGTTCTTCTTATACTTGTTTGGGGGCTCCTGACTTGTTATAGTCGATCGCCCATTTTCGCGCTTCCATCTGAGTCTCGACATCCTTGTAGTATTGTTTGACGTTTTCCTTCGGGTCCTTGGAGAGCTGCAAGGAGGAAACGAGTCTAGTCAGCCCCTACGTTCCTTGACAGTCAGAAATGACCTTGAGAACAAACAGGCGATCTCTCCCATGCACATCCATGCCGTCAAGAATTTTCATGCGATATGCAGACCTTCAAAACTATTGCTCAGCCTGTCTTGAAAGACAGTTGCAAGTCATACCGCATAGCACCTTCGGCAAAGGGCTTTCTCTCTATCTGAATCTTGATCGCGTTTTGCCTCCATTGTCTGCTCCATATCAGACGAAGCAAGGGTCATTAGAAACGTGCAAAGACGTACTTGAGGATGGGATCATACTCCTTCACGACCGCATTCTCCACTGCATACAGTTCTTTGGGACCAGCGTATGGGTTGCAGATTGGAGCATTCTTCCAGTCGTCGAGCTGCTTAGCACTTTGCATCTCGTGCCGGGGAGGATTTTGCTCGCAATTCTTTCTTACTGGGATCTCCACATTATTCAAAGACGTTACAGCAGGCAGTTTGAAGATGTCTTGTATATTGAAGTGCTGCATGATTCAAATCCTGCAAAGGAGAGTTAGGGGTGAAAGAACTCTGATATCTTCACTGTCGTCATGTTGTCCTCTCATGCCAAAATCTGCACCGGAAGTTGCTAACCAGACCAGGCGAAGAATCCTCCTTTCCTTTAACACTATCGTGTAGCTGCTCAGTCTCTCGACTTCAACATCTCAGTCTTCGTCTAGGGCCCCTCCCAACCACCTGCCGCTTCACGCTCCTCCCTCTCAACCTCCCTTCTACTTCGGCCAACTACTACTAGGTGCCTCCCAGCCTTGGATCGCAAGGTTGAAGATTCCTCCTGACAGTTCTTTTTTTCTCGATTAATCCGTGTATCTTTTTCTTTTCAGTACTGAAATTTCGAATTTTCTTTTTTTCATTCCTCCTCGGAATCTGCCGTTGAGTCCCTCGGGGCATTGTAAAATCTGAGGCGGGTTTACGCGTGCATGTCATGATTTGAACTTGTTCCGGTCACCCGGTCACCCGGTTCACATTACTCGATGTGACCCAGGAAGCTGGCTGACCTCAGTTGTGAAGGGTCGCGCCATGCGCGCCATGAGCCAGAGATAGAGCGGGAGAGGAGAGGAGGACGGGGAGAGAGGAGACGGGAAAAGCAGCTGATGTCGATGCATTTGAGACACTTTCCTGTGGCCTCGTGATGAGGGGGGTTAGATGGAATCAATCTTTATCTGTAGCTCCTAGTATCTGCTTTGTTTGCTGCAGACCGAGGGACGAGGCTGACGTCAAGGAGGTGTTCTAGAACGATGCTAGTTCTCGCGCTGACTTCTTCAACTGTCTCCACTATTCTCTCAATTTATTTGATGTGATCGTCTTCTCTGTGCCCGCATTTAAGATTTTCCCCTTGTTTCATCCCATCTTTGTTGCGTTGGTTTCGCTGTCATGCGAATAAGATTCCACCTGTCATGGTGTGTTTGTATGAAAGAATGTCTCTCTGAATTACGAGCATCGAGATATTCTAGTTTGGTGATCGCTGGCAAGGATGTGATTGACTTGAGTTCGTTGTATGCTTTCATCAAGGTTCCTTAAATCAAGGTTGCGACTGACTGCAGCGTGCAGATGTTGGTTTCGCATCTACCCAGCCTCTTTGTCTGCGGTCGTTCCATGTCGTACTTTTGCAACCCGTACACCGGACAGCAAACGAATGTGACTGTTGGAACTCATGGCATGAATGATGGCTACGTTCCCGTGCCCCACCAGCCTCCTCTTCCTAACCAGTCATGGTTGAAGGGCGGCAACAGGTAAAGTTTGCTCTTGATCTAATAGAGAGAGCGCGTACTAATGTCAGTAGCTGGAGGGAGCTGACCCGCATGTTTGTAGGTGGGTCTATGACGAGATCTATGGGTATGGCCAGCGTCCGATCGACGGGGTGTGGGACGGGCCGGAGGCTCGCGTGCCTGCGATCGATCGTGTACTTGCCCCTCCCCCCTGGAGCGAACTTGATTAAGTGGATTTTAACCCATTGCTTCAACCTTGTAAAGATTTCAATGAAGCCCTGACACAGAGAGTCGATGAATGTTCGTCTCCGAGCTCGATTGAGATACATTCTTCCAGATAAACTGTTCCAAGAGTGAAAGGGTAGGAAACAATTCAGTGTATTACAGACAAGGGCGTGAAGACATTCAATGCCTGCTGTCTCTAAGGCAGCAAGTCAAGTTCTGACCTCGTAATCTCCGGCCTCCGTGAACTCCAATACTCGTTGCTCGTACTTCCGTAGCTGATACCCTCGCACTCGCAGCTCCTCTGGAGGCACCCGCGAGCCGCCGCTCTTGAGCTGCTCTAAAGCCCACCCCTTGTTCTTGACCGTCAGCCCCGTGAGCTTCACTCGGGCTCCTGGAACGGCTTTCACGATCAGTGTTCCATCCAAATCCAAATCCTCGATGAACACGTCAGGGCCGGATACGATCAAAGTAGACTTGGAGGAGATCCGCCCACCCTTGACTTTATGGATGACATCACCAACCCCAACGGCGAACGACGGTGCCAAGATGACTCTGGGACCTGCAACTATCGGTATTCCGTTGAAGACCGTCACAGCGGCGTCTTGTACCTCCACTCCAGCGATTCGTAAGAGCTCTCGGTTGCAAATATAAACATCGGCCTCGCCCGTAGAAGCTGTCATGGGGGGCAGGTTTACACTTGCCAGGCTCACCCCCTTGGCGACAGAATTTTTGACCGGTGAATACGAAAACCAGCGCTTCATCTTCACAAAACTTATCTCTGGTTTCATTTTCTCCGGGAATACCTTGGGGAAATCTTGCATCATACACTCTAGCCTTGTCGGAGTCTGAAAACTTGTCTTGTCACTGTTCTCGTACTTTGGATTAACGAATTCAGGAACTTTCCCATTCGATTCAACCAGAGCCTGAAGGTAGCTTGAAAGCTTGAAAATGATTTGGTTCGTATTGCCAGGATAGGGAGATTCCCCCAGTTTTGGATCGTAGTCCATCTTATCACCCAGCAGGTCTTGAACTTCATTGTACTCTACATTGTTAATCAAGCTTGTTCCATCTGGTCGACGCAATTTCATGATCGCACCGCATGCATCCCCAGCTTTCCTTGGTACAGCCATGGTATTGACGTCTAGATTGTGCTTAGCAGAAATACCAAGACATGCGGGAAGAGGCTTGAAGGCCAAGACGTTCGTATCCTGGAAGAAGTAGATCCACTTATACCCCGCATCAACCAGGTTCTTAGCTACTCCTGTGGTATACAAGAGCCGGTGTACATCGCCATGTCCATGCGGCTTTGTCATCAACTGGTAATTATCATCCGAGTTGAGTGCTAGATGGCCTCCGGTATCCACGATCGCAGGCACCTCGCCTTGCTTCACAAGTATGAATTGACTCCTGTCTGCTCCGAAGTAATTATTTCTTACCAAAAGATCCAAGGTCTTCTGATGAGTTTCATGTGACGTCATGATGATGAAGGGAAGCTTCTGACCAGGAGACATGTCGCAAATGCTTTGTAAAGCCAGCACGTTGTCGATGTAATACTGAAGAAAGCATCTTCCAGTTGTGATTTCAGCAGGCAGTGCAACCTTTATGCCACTGTAACCCAGTCGTTCTCCCAACCCACCAGCCACCAACACGAAGGCACACTGATGCATATTTGCATATCCTTCTCTCTCAAAGTCCAGGATCTCAGTAGATCTTGGTTCTACAGAAAATCCGTCGGCGATTTCTGGTACAAATTCTGCATTGCTGGATATGCCATGTTTAGACTTCAAGAGCAGCTGTCGGGCATTCATGATGTATTCTCGAAGGCCACCAGGGTAATCTTCATTGAGATGCATGGCTTGGTTCAGAAAGCGATGTTTGTCGTCGTCTTGGAACCCAGGTGCTGGCCAATGACCGAACAAATGACCCTGACCCAGGCCAATCAAGCTGGACGCGAATCGAAACTCAACCTCGCTGAGAATGTGCATGTTCGCAGCCAAAGCTGCCTTTCCCTTTCCTCTTGTTGAATGAGAGTCCTGCATGGGAGTGGAGCAAGAAAGATCCTTTATGTCACAAGGCAGGGATCACAGACGACAGCGAATCTGAAGCCCTCCAGCAACTTCAGGATAAAGAATGATGTGCCACGATCTTGTAGCTGCGCACTCAGCTCCAAGGTGCGCTAGACACTTGCAATCACGTGCTGCTGCTGAGTGTTCAGAGGCTTAACCGCTTCTCCCCTCACCCTCCCGACCCCGTGCATCTTGTGCCTGGTTTCCATCACCTCCCAGGACGATGTAGGGGTGCACATGACTGCTTTTAGACCGGTAGTCTCCATGCGTCAGTGACTCGGATCGCATCAGTGATACTAGTCAAGTTCGGCGGCCGCCGGGGCCCCGGGCCCGGCCGCGCCGCGACCCAGCGGCGTGGTGCCGTAACTCCGAGAGTTTTATGCACAGGGGTGACCCCTGCCGGCAGCCCGGTGGGCTACCCCTGCGGGACACCGTCACGGGGGGCATCACTGTCACGTCATGGGCCGGCGGCGGACAAAAATCAGTACGAGGACAATCAGGAGAGTCGAGGAGGCTTGACCCTGACACTCCTGGCAGTCCGATCGCACAGGCAGGCCCACTCGGACAGGGGCCGGGCTGAGGCCAGTGCCACGGGGGTGGAACTCGCGATAAAAGGGTCTAGGACCGGTGTCTTTCCCTCAATGATAGAGGGTATGTTGATGGGGAGGGGGTGGGTAAGTTTGCAGGAAATCGCAATGGCAGCCAGGCCGCGACCAGGTTTAAGGATGATTAAAGCAAAAAGCGCGATGATGACAATTGTCAAAACCTCACAGTCTATCAGAGAAATGTGAGTTCTATCTCATGATACCAATGATTCGGATGTCACTATCGCTCTTTTTAATGTTTTCTACTTTTCGTATACCTCTTTTTCGACTTGCAACCAGCAATGTCACGTAATCCCCGAAACCCGGGCATGTTACCATTGAGGCCTCCATCCCATTGTGCTGATTTAGCATAAATTCGTCTTCGCCTGTTCTTATGTGTGCTGTTCTCAGCTTCCCCGTCATTATCTGATCCATTCCGTACGTTGAAAGTGTCCCGTTCATGCGGTTGGCTGAGGACAATTCGTTTTTTCGAATGCTCGTACACAAAGGGCAGGTCAGGGTCCACCTTTTTACATAACTCTGTGCAAGCCTGATTGAATTTTCTCAAGAAATCCTTCTTGTTCAGATGGCCAATCAATGACCACAGATTCTCCACACTATCGGTGCAGAGAGTTCGTGAGTTGAAGTCATAGTCTCCGTCTCCAAGCACATGTCTCTTATTTTTCACGTACTGCTGTACTTGCAGATGAGTATCAATTGCCACTATGAAACCTTCAAACGCGACAGAAGATAATCCTTTCACGTGTTTCTGGCTGACCGTGGTCCAGTCGATCCCTTCCAACAACCAACTCCGAGCTTCGCGTACTAGACGTATCCTCTCTGAAACTGTCAGACCTCTTTGATCGAATGCTTTGTGAAGGCCAGACATACTTTCTGCCATTCTGGCTGTCGCTTCATGCCCTTCTGCCTTCAGTAGACTGATGGCTTTTTCACTGAACATCTTCAGCATGATATCCACAGATTGTGGATCGGCGGTTCCATCGACCTCCATCTGAGACATCCATGATGGATTCTTCTTGGCGATATCACTGTAAGCTTTATGCCATATCTTGGCTTCCGGTGAAGACGATTGTGACTTCCCTGATCCAATCGAATGCCTGACATTCTTCAACAAGTGGTTAATGCACGGTGAGAAGAATAACAACTTCTTGGTGATAGGAGAGATGACGGGATTGGACAGCCATTCGTCAAATTTAAAGCGGATCTTGTTTTCATCCAGCTCATTTAGCCCATCTGCTATCCTTCGCTCCATCTCCCATGGAGTGTATGTTTCTTCCTCATCTTGATTGTCATTGGCTAATGACAGAACTTCTTCGTATCCATACCTTCGGCAAAATATTTTCAGCCTACAGAACATGTCTTTCAAGGTCAATCTTGGCCTCTTGCTCGTGCTACATCTTAGCGTCTTCTCATTCTGAACCTGCCATATGGCCTGGTTGCGTCGCAATTGCAAAACAAAATTTTTGATATCTCTCATCTCCGGCACATCCATGTGTACCATTCCCGACTGAGGTGTGACTGACAATGACGACAGGTCTTCCCCATCGTATTCATCGGCATTGTTCAAGGTGCACTCACTCTCAATGTCGTGCTCTGAAATTGGAGGCTCGAACTTGAATAGCCCTGAAATGTATGCAGCAATAGAGGAACATAGAGTTCGATCATCCATACTGGTTGCCTAAATCTGCTTCGCAATCTTCGAATTCTTTACAAAAACCAGCATTGATCATCGTCTTGTCCATCGCCAACACGTGGATACCATCTACAAGGTTAGTACTCATCATTTCGCTGTAATTGTCCAAAATTTCGCTACATATTCTTGACCTTTTCACATCTCGTGTTTTCATGTCAGCACTTTGATGCTTGCAAAGAGTAGAGATGCATGGCAGAGGCAAGTTATGTAAAGCCTGATCAGAATGGAAATTGTCTGTAAACTTGTTCCCTGGCCCTGACAGGAACCGCAACATTGTCGCATTGCCAAGGTTTTTGAGTGTTGATGCGAAACTGATAATCTCCGGGGAGAATCTCATGCCCCTCGAATCTTTCGCTCTAAAACTTTGACGACACCAATCCATTACCAAGTACGGCATGATTTTGTGTGTTGTTCTGAAAGCGTCGATATCATTACTGGCAAACATCACCAATTCAGAAACTACATCTGGCAATCCACAAGCATGTAAGTTTGAAACTGCTCTTTCGACATTGCATATCGCAGAGAACTCATGCTCCGATGTTTTCTTTTGTGCTTGACACAGAGAGTCGTGCTCACTCAGAATCCTTCGGATGATTTCACATCGGGTGTTGCCATCAAGGGTTCTGAACGTTTCACAAACTGTCTGAATGAACAGCTCGGAGTCTGCCTTGGTGTGCTTCTTTGGGGGACATGGATCAACATGCTCATCCGACAATTTTGCATATCTGCAGAATGATCACACTACAGAGAGGGGAAGAAAGCAACATCACAGACTTACCGCAAAAAGTAATCGTGAATCGTGGATTGTAATGAATTCAAATCTTCGAAATGTGAGGTAGACCACTTTTCGATTCGGGAAAAAAGAGTTCGATGCTTTCTGTGCATATTACCAAGCTGTGTACGAAGTCGATTTAAATGCTCATAAATAGCAGTGGTTCCTGCATGTGGATTTCCAGATGCTTGTTTTTCGAAAACCTTGGTGTAATAGTAGAGAAAGCATTTCGCAAACCCTTCTGATGTATGTCCGTAAACATCTCCAAGGACTTTTAGCTTCTTTTGGACTTCAAACAAGGATACAGAACGAAGACTTAACTTCAGATGCTGGGTCGCTGAAGTGAGAAGATTGTTGTCTTCACACTCCAAAGACAAAGTTGCATGATCTTGACATTGCAAGAAATCCAACAGCTTGAAAACCAAGGTATCATCCCACTTCGAGAGCAAAATCCGCTTAGAACCACACTCATCCTTTTGGGTTTTGAATAAATGTACACAAGTTGTGCAAACAGGCACACCTTGCCATCTTCGAACACTGGCCTTCTTTCTTGGTTTTTGGCATGATTGGCATGTTTCGGTCTTCCGCACCTTCGGCTTGCCCATGGCGAGGGGGGTCACAGGTTTGCCCGCCAAAAATCGGATTTGAATTTTGTTGTGATACCCTGCCATGGCATGCAGAACCCCCTGAAAAAACTGCCATAGCGCCCCACACAGACCGCATGGAGGCGAAGCGGGGGGGGGGGGGTATTTAACTAATTATTTGTACTGTTTAATTCACCGACCAGGGGTTGGCCCGCCTGTCAATTCGAACATAGTAGTTCTACCCCCGTGGGCCAGTGCCGGCCGGGATGGTCAGAGAGGAGATGAGGGCCAGATTGTTCGTCAGTTGATGAGGGTGACCAGAGCTGTCAAGGAAAGAAAATGCGCGCCAAGACACGGCGAGGGCGCGGGGGCATGCGATGATAGATGCTGCACAAGGCGCTCATGAAGTCGAACAAGTGGACATTGCTCCTTGTGAGATGCTCCTTCATATCTTTGATGACCATCGCTCCTCTTGCTCTGTGCTCGCAGACGCAATACGGAACGCAGCTTGTGGTGACTTCCCTCCCCTTTGAGCTGCAAGGGTCATGCGCTGGGGGCTCACCATTCTGTGATGGCTCCACTTGTTACGGCACAGCCTGTGTCACGCCGGGAGCAGGCTGCATGACAGGGTGCTTGGACACGCAATGCGGGAATTGTTTGCCCACAAATACAGGGGCTGCCTGTCGGTCAGCCGCACAATGCACGGGGTCGAACCCTCTGCTGTCCAGCAATGGGCTCACAAGCCTGATACCCGGCTCTTCTCACTTGTGTCAGATCATCTCCGTCAACGAGACTTTGTTCGGCGGCAAGTCCTTCGGGCCCATTTCGGTCGCTCTCAAAGACCCTAGCTTCAAGACCGTGACCACGGCCAGTGGGATTCCTGTCAGTGTACAACTGATGGGATGTCGAGCAAGGTGCGACCTGGTAGGTCAGACGGTGCAGATCATGTCTTACGGCGAAGCCGTCTTTGACTCCTTGAAAATATTGCAAGTCGGGGCCTCCTACTCTCTGCGATTTCAACTAGAACAAACCTGTACAATATCTTCATGTATTCCTCATGGAATATTAGCAACTTCTATATCATTCTTTGATGTTATACCTGGCCAACTGTCTTACCTCTCTATCGATGTGTTTCCTCAGCAAGCAATAGCGAACAGTGACTTCAATCCAAGTCCTACAATTTCAACGCGTGATGCTGGTGGAAACATCATTCCTCTTCGGATGCAGATTACTGTTTCCAAAGGGGCTCGTGGAGACGGTGTGGCTATCTTCAGCAGAAATGGGCTGAACTATCGTTTCAGCGATCAAGGAGTCGCTGTCTTCTCTGGGATCTTTGTCAGCATCGTTTCTGTCTACGACGTGGTCTTCAACACCAGCATCGGAAACATCTCTTTCGCAGTGACTTACAGCGGTCTTGTCGTGACCGGAAGTGAACAGTTTTTAACGATTTCAAACAGCTTTCCAAACATTAAGACATATGCCTCTCTTGTGCCCTTCGAGGTTCAGCCATCTATTGTTGTCACCGACCAGCGTGGGTCAGTAGTTGAGTCCAGTCAACTGATTGTAGAAGCCTGGGCACTTGATGGTCAGACACAAGCTCTGCAAGCAATGTCCGGTTCCAGCAGATTGCAATTTGTCAAAGGAGTTGTCAGGTTCACAGACTTGTCGATTGGAAGAGCAGGTGTTGGATATAAAGTTCGGTTCCAGTCCGGCGCAATCTCAGTGACTACGGCAAACAGTTTTGATGTGATACCAGGCCAAGCAGCCTCTATCGAGGTGGTACGTCAACCTGCTGTTAACTGGACAGCAGGAGAATTTTCCTATCTTAACCCTCGCATTCGTCTTCTGGATCGTTTTTCGAATGTTATCGTTCAGGGCGTGACAATCTTGACCTATATCCAGTCAGTTGGCAGCATCGCTAATAGTCTGCCTTCTGCCGTCTTTACTTCCAACATCTCTCAAGCTCAATATGCCGATCAGGGATTTGTAGAGATTGCAAACCTGCACCTGGAGATCGCAGGAAGGTATGAGTTGGTGTTGACTATTGGAAACATCTCCAACGTTTCGTCATCATTTGAGGTGTTTCCTGCTGCAATCTTCGAGCTCTTCATTGCTCGTCAACCCTTCGCCGGAGTGGTCGGAAGTGCGTTGCAACCTGCTCCGCTGGTGGAGCTGCATGACAGGTTCGGCAACACAATCATGGACGGAATCAGCAGCTTCTCATGCTCTGCGATCCTCCAATCAAATCCCACAGGAGCAACTCTCATGTGCTCCGGCTCCTTTCCTTGCCTGGAGAACTTTGTCAATGGGCAAGCAAAATTTGCGAGCATCTCTCTCAACAATGCTGGAAAGGGCTATCAATTGCTGTTCACGGCACAAATTCAAACAGGGAATGGTATTATCGCGCAACTCACTGCATCCTCTCAGCTCTTTGACGTATCAGGCTTGGTATCTTCAGCTCTCGTGACTCTCCCTGCCTCTAACCTTCAGTGTGGTCAAGTTTTCGATGTGCTTGTAACACTGATGGATGTTTACGGCAACACAGTGAGAGCAAGTCAAGACGGAGTTGCTGTCGAGATGCTGTCTGTGACAGACGGGAAGCTGTTGAGCATACAGGGCACGACTATCGTCCTGGCGAGAAATGGGGTCGCTGACTTCACCAACCTGATCGTCGGGAATGTGGGAGAGAGTTTTCAGTTCGTGTTCTCCTGCAATGTCTCGAAGATCAACATCAGATCGCAGACTTTTGCCGTCTGGTTTGGACGTCCCAGCTCCATTCAGCTGCTCGTCTCTCCGGCAGTCTCAAGAGTCGGAGAGCAAATGATGATGGAGCTGATGGTGGTGGACGTATGCTCGAGCATCGTCCTGGGTTTCAACTCGAATGCCTCTTTTTCGCTTGTGGATGACAACAAGCAGGTGCATATGCTTGGAGTGATTCAGCTCATCAGCGGTCAAGCGATATTGGCTTTCAACTTATCCACTATCGGTCAGGACATGGCAATCTTGTCATACGCGAGCTCCTTCAACGTCTCTGGAGTTTCCAACAGTTTCTCCGTGTCGTTCGGCGTGATCGCATCGCTGCACGTCGAGACCGTCGCGACCAGTGCCGTCGCTCTTGTTCCCCTCAGCCCAGGAGCGACGCTGAGCGCAAGGGATGCAGGAGGAAATCTCGTAACGGATTTCGGTGGTGACGTCCTAGCCCGAAAGCTCAGCGGAAGCTCAGCGGACTCGAACCTCGTCGGAGTGACGCAGGTGGCAGCGGCCCAAGGGATGATCTCTTTCTTCGACCTGCAGATCACCACCTTAGACACCAGCTTCAGGATTGAGTTTCTTTACTGGAACGTCTCCAGCAGCTTTATAGTTCGCACTTCCTCTCCCCCCATCGTCGTAACGGGCAGCGTTGCAGAGCTGAGGCTGATTTCCATCGCTGAGAACGCAGCAGGCGGCAGACCCTTCGGCACTCAACCAGCTCTGGCTGTGTTCGACCAGTTCGGTTCCACCGTCCTGTCCTACAGCAGATACGCTCGTGTCCAGGCCAACGACACAATTGCAGACCCACTGCTGGGAACTACCAGCATCGCCTTCCAGAGAGGTAGAGCCTTCTTCACAGACCTCCAGCTCTCCCTCGCTTCCAGCGCTCGAGTTCTGCTCTTCTCGACGGACGGGCTGTCCGTGAAGCAGGTCCTGACGGTGCAGCAAGGGACTCCTACCGCTCTGGTAGTGGTCCAGGGGCCAGTCGACTCATTCGGCTTCAAAGTCTTCCAGCAAAGCGTGTCGGTGAAGGTCGTCGACCAGGGGCTGAACGCGGTGTCCAGCACGTTCAGCTGCGCGATCTCCCTGACCAACGGCAACTCTGCTCTTCTCTCTGGCACCTTGAGGAAGCTGACGAGCAACGGAATAGCGAGCTTCACAGACATCAGAATCGACTCAGCTGGATTCGGCTTCGCTCTCAACTTCTCCTGCTCATCGCAGGACGGAACTCTCTCGCTGTACAAGGTGAGCTCCCCCTTCCGCCTCTACGGATCGGCAGTGGCACTCTCCCTCTACAGGTTTCCAGCAGGAGCGATCGCAGACGCGAGCTTCTCCCCGGCAGTGGAGCTTCGCCTGCTCGACGAGACTTACAATCACATTCCGGTGATTGAGAGCCTTGACTGCACGGCCTCCGCTGTCGGAAATCTTGTCTTCAGCAACGGGATCTTCAGTGTGAGAGGAGCTTTCGGGATTGCAAACTTCTCAGATATCAGAGTGAGCTTTCCGACCGACAGCCAAATCAGCGGGAAGCAAATTCTCTTCAAATGTCAGTATAAGACAAGCTGCTTCCGAGTGATGTCGCCTTTCTTCAGCATCACATATGCAGTCTCCCAGATCTCCATTCTCTCTCCGCCCAGCTACAGTCTGGTGATGGCTGGTGAGGTCATCAATCCCCCTCCCCTCCTCCAAGCCCTCGATAGCCTCGGGCGGATAGTCTACGGTTCGAGCAGCGCAGTCAAGGTCTCTCTTATCTATGACAACAGCATTATCGCTGGCCTTCAGGGAACTTTGTCGACACAATTCAACGCTGGAGTTTCGAACTTCACCGACTTGTTTCTCAGTACGACCGGCGGGCCGTACACTCTCAAGTTTGAGATCCCTGGCACCTCAACAACCATCCCTCCGGTCTATGTCAGCATACTGAATGTGACCAACGGCCCTGCCCGATCCCTGCAGCTCGTCACACAACCCCTGACCGTCGCTGCTGACACAGTCTTCTCTGTTCAACCCTGTCTTGGAGTCAATGATGGGTATAGCAACCTTGCTGTTGTCGCGAATGCACAGGTCAGTGTTGATTTGATCGCCTCCAACTCCAGCTTCGCAGTTCTGGGAGGTGACACGATCGTGCAAACACATCAAGGATACGCAACATTCACCAACCTGCAAATACAGAATGTCTCAGTGGATGAGACTTTCATGCTGCGGTTCACTTTGCTCTCCTCGGCTTTGCCGTCGCATCCATCCGTTTCAGTGACATCAAATGCTGTCAAAGTTCTACTCGGATTCGTCCAGACCATCTCCTTCGTGCGACGCCTTCCTCCCGCTCTTGTCTCAGCTCAGCCCCACCAGCTTTACTTCCGCGCGTCAGATGTCGCCAACAACTCTCTGACACAGCCCTGCAATCTCACCATCACTCTTGTACCTCTCAGCTCAGACTACAACGCGACGAATGTGTCACGCGTGGTCAACAATCTGAATCCTTCCAACGGCGTTTTCCAAGTGAACGTAACAGTGAATCAAGTAGGGCGATATCTGATGTTCTTGTCTATCAACCGAGCTCTTTCCCCTCCAAGTGAGTTTCTGGTTCTGCAAGGTCAGCCGTGTTGCCTCAGACTGCTCTCACAACCGAGGGACACGATGATCGGCAAAACTATTGTCCCTGCCCCTCAGATCATCGCGGTGGATGCCGGGGGCAATTCCATCATACGAACTGGGCTGCTTGTCAATGTGTCTCTCAGCAACGTCCTCTTGCCCACCGCTCGACTAGACGGCAACACGTCAGTGCAGATGCAGGAGAACTTGGCTGACTTCACTGACCTGAGCGTGAATCTCGCGGGGAGCGGCTTCTCTCTTGTCTTCGTTGCCGAAAACCTCCAGCCTGCTCTTTCCTCATCCTTCATAGTGACAGGGACGGTGAGCAACCTTGAGATCCAGATCACCGCGATCGATCGCATCGCAGGAGCACCTTGGCTGGGTCAGCCTCAAGTGCTTTTCCGTGACAACGATGACTCGCGCATCTCGTGCGACTGTATCAAAGGGTCAGTCCTCGTCTCTCTTTACGTCGACGGGAAGGCTTCGTCTGCTCTGGAGGGAACCAAACAGCTGGACGTGCACAAGGATGTCGTCTACTTCACCGATCTCTCCATCAAGCTCGCTTCCTCCAAGCTCTCGTTGAAATTCGTGTTCACCCCTGTTGGTTATGGGAATCCGATTGTGAATTTCTCGCGCCCGTTCGAGGTCATCGCTGGAAGAGCCTCCAACTTAGTAGTAGTCTCCGAGATGGACTCGAGTCTCCGTGGCATCGCTCCCGGGAAACAACCGGTTGTTGCGATTCTCGACGCGTTCAGTAATGTAGTTTTAAGCTTCGTCGGGGCTCTTGATGTGAAGTTATCGAAGTCGACAGAAGACAAGGGAGTGCTCAACGGACATACGACAGCAGCGTTTATCAACGGCACAGCATCCTTCACCGACCTCAGCATCACTCCTGTGTCAGGAAGCAGCGCTTTTTTTGTCTTGCTCTTCTCTTCCTCGGGATTCGCAGTATCCTCAACCCCGGTAGAGATAGTCTCGGGCCCCATTGCCACCATCGTCTCCAAGGTCGTTACGTTGGGTAGCATATTGCAGATGAACGGCCTCTTGCAGCCGCAGCCTCAGATCGCCGCCGTTGACACCAGCGGGGGAGTAGTGACTGACTTTGATGGGGACAGCTGCAACTCGGCAGGATGTTTCATCTCTGTCGCCATCAGTGGCGCCTCCTCCTCTCTTCTAGGTGGTCAAACAAGTGTGAAAGCGCAGGCAGGAGTGGCAACCTTCACGGACTTGAGGATCGCGGTCAACGGGACCTACGCGCTCGTCTTCTCTGCCAACGCTCTCTGGGGGTCGACGGTCTTCTCTACCGTTCAGAGCAACGTGGTGGTCTCGAGCATCAGCGCTCTTGAGATTGAAGTCCCTCCGGCTCTCGCGGTCAACGGGCAGATGCTCAGGAGGCAACCGACATTGCGAATCGTCTCATCGTCCGCGTCCAGCACAGTCCTCGCCTCCAGCCATCTCGTCACTGCCCGCCTCGTGTCCTCGTCGACCTGCAAGGGGCTTGGTAGCCCGTCAGCACTTGAGACGACAGTGAGAGCACAACAAGGCAGGGCTGTTTTCTCCAACATCTCTATCTTCGCGGAGTCAGGGTTTTGTTCGTTGCAGTTTCTCATATCACTAGCTGACAATGCCAGCGAACCATTTCTCTCTGTCAACTCGCAGCCGATTTACATCATGCAGAACTCGCCCTCACTGATACTGCAGAGCCAACCGAGCAATGAGAGCGGCGGTCTGCCATTCCATCAGCAGCCGCAACTCGTTGCCCAACAGCTGGACGGGAAGATCTTGGCAGGAAACGGATTTGTGACCGCATCGCTTGTAGATTCGAATGGAAGAGTCTCAATGCTCAGGGGCAGCACGAAGGTGCTCTTTTACTCAAACGTCGTGACGTTCACAAACCTCGCCATCGACAGAGTAGGACGGGGGTATCGTCTTCTGTTCACTTACATGGACATATCCGTATGGTCTGATCCGTTTCAAGTTGTGAATGGTTCCATCGCAAGTTTGTTTCTCCTTCAACAGCCTACTCATGTGCACGCTGGTGTCAGTTTTTCACAACCTGTCACGGCTTGCGCCAAAGATGCAGGTGGAAACGATGCGATCATACAGGCGTCGAACAATTTTGCTGCGACGCTTGTGTACCTCAATCTTGCTTCTCTGCATGGATCAACAGCAACAACACAAGAAAATAATTGTGTAATCTTCTCATCTTTGGCCATCGACACGCCTGCCAAGGAGTATCGCCTCAAGATCTCGGAGACCTCCACCAGCATCTCCGTGATTTCAGACAAGTTCGATGTGCATGGCGACGTTGCCCATCTCGTCCTTGACTTCTTTCCCGCCAAGAATTTTACTGCTGGGCAAGTGCTGGAGCCCAAGGCTGTCCTCCTCCTTTCTGACAACTACGGCATCAGGGCATGGACCTCCCGCGCTGATGTCTCGCTGGCTCTCCAAATGTCGCAGGGCAACGGCACCATCACTCTGCCAGCAACAGCCTTCGACGGCGGCGCGACAACTTGTGAGATCGGCCTCTGCTCGTTGGCCAACATCACTATCTTTCAAGCTCATGAAAGTCTCGTTCTCTCCTTTGCAATTGGTTCCTCCTCAGTGTCCAGCCCTTCCTTCTCCATCACAGCCGGTCCTGTCGCATCCCTTCACTTCGTGCAAGTGCCAGCTGGTAGTCAGTTTCTCGGAGTTCCACTTCTCCCCTTTCCTGTCATCGAAGCACTAGACAAGTTTTCAAATCGTGTCTATGGGACCTACACCGTATCTTCATGCTTTCAAATTGTGAATCAAGCTGCAGGTCCCAACCTTACCGCTTGTCATCCGGACCAATCCTTTTCCAAAAATTGCTCAGCTGGCATGTGTAGATTTGACAACCTTTTCCTCAAAACGAGTCATATAGAAGGAGGCGTATCTGCATTCCTTCACTTCTACATGAATTTGACGGGATCGATACTAACCTCTCTTGTCTCAAGCCTCTTGTCTTTCCGCCAAAGCAGCCCAAGACTTGTGATTACTCGAACCCCTTCTCTTTGTCGATCTGCGATGCCCTGTCCTCAAGGACCTGTGGTCGAGCTTCAGGATGCAGGAGGATTTCAATTCAACAACCTGCAAGGAGGATTTTCCTTTCTTCCTGTGAAAATGCAAATTGCTGCTTCTTCAACAAACACGAGTATTCTTCGTCTAAATGGAGTTCAATGTCCATGCCTGGTGCAATTGAACCAGGGGAAAGCTATCTTCGATAAGATATCCTTTGATCGTCCTGCTTTGTTCTATTCCTTACAATTCTCGTTGGATGCGCTTGGGCTGGATTCAATTCTGAGTGACGGGTTTGCAGTGTTTGGACCTGTGGTGAAAATGGATTTGCAGACTACTCTGCAACCGAGAGTTGCACTCACGGCACTGATAGATTTTACCTTACAACTCTCAGATGCAAACGCTCTGCCTCTTCCTGGAGTTGAAATGCTCATGAAGACTGTAGCGATGGGAGCCAGCGATCCAACTTGCGTCTTCCTCCATGATCCACTTGCTTCACTGGAGGTCGCTCAAGCATCCAATGGGTCAGGTGTGGTCGACTTCAAGAGCAATTCGTTCAATACCTTCTATGGTTGTCGACTGAAAGTTTGTTTCGAGGCAATAGACAAAACTCTCGTAATTGACCGGTTCAAGCTTTCGAATTCTGTCTGCTCTATCGTCTTCGATGTCGTCCATGATTCACCTAAATCACTGCTCCTTGCTCCCCATCACTCCCTCTGGACAAGCGACGACATGCCATTGGATCCTTTTGTTGTGTATGCTCGAGATCAGTTCAATCATACAACCAACTTTTCCTCCGCCTGGGTCAACTTGAGCATATCTCGTGGCAGTGAAGTGCTCTCTCAAACCTTCTCGCAGCAGTTGCTATCTGGGGCAGCTTCCTTTACCTTAGACCTTCCACGAGCTGGAGTGTATCTTCTCAACTTCTCTTTGTATCTTTCTTGGCATGAGGCAAGCAATGTCACGATCTTCTCACTGACAATTGTTCCCGGAGGTTTCGACCACCTTGCAGTGCTTCAGCAGCCCAGCAACTGTTTCGTCATGCAAACTTTCCATCAGCCTGTCATTGTCATCGCTCAGGACCGTGCGAACAATCAGATCTTTGACCTAACAATCGATGTTGTGCCCTCCAAATACAGCGGTCAGAACTCTAGGTCTCTCTTGCAAGACACCTCTGCTGTTCCCCTCGCGGATGGACAGGCTATCTTCCGGTCTTTGCGATTCAACGACTCGGACTCGTCTGCCGTCATAAAGTTTTCGACAGAGTCAGGATGCAGACGCAGCGTCGTGTCGACCTCATTTGCTGTCTCAGGGTTGCCTGCCCAGGCGAGCTCTGTCTCTCAGTCTACGACAGCCGTTGCCAGTCTTCCTCTTGCAGTCCAGCCCCTCATCGGGGTTTCCGATGCAGGCGGACAGAGATGCTTTGCCTTCGTCGGGTACGTCTGTGCAAACCTCACGGATCAAACCTTGCTCAAGGGGAACACCACTGCGATCTTTCAACTAGGAACAGCTCAGTTCACAGACCTGAGCCTCACTAGAGTGGGTACCCAGCAACTGAGCTTCTACCTGTACGAGAGCACATACCCCCTGTCCTCAATCAACTGTCTGATGAGCTCCAAGTTTACGGTAGTGACAAATCTGCAGATCACAGTGGGGCAGCCGTCGGAGATTCGATTTGACACCACCAGACTCTTCGATCTCACACAGCTCATCTCCGGCGTCAACCCGTCAGTGTACCCTGCGGTCCAGATGTTCGATGCCGGGGGGAACCTAATATCCACCATGGGTGACTACGGAGTACAAGTAACGCTGTTGGCGTTGGAGATGAATTTGAGCCAAATCAAATTGAAGACATCCACTACTTCATCGCTCTCGATCGTGACAAGCACATTTGTTGGAGAGAAATTCGACTGCAACGGTTTTGTGATTCAAGGCACTGGGTTTGACCTTTACTTGAAGCTTTCACTGGTGCGCACAGATGCAGGTGTCGTGTCTCTTCCTTCCATCAATCCGCTGTACACAAACACCTTCGACGTGTTGATAGGAGTCATGAATGAACTGATCATCTTGCAGCAGCCTTCCGGTTGCATGCTCAACTTTGCTTGCAAGCAAGTACCAATAGTGGCTATTCGAGACATTGGAGGAAACATTGTCGCCAATGACAACTCCCTGGTAAGTTGTGTTTTCTCCTCCAATTCCTATGATTGCCTCGCAAACGAGATTTTTGAGACCGCTGATTCTGACTTTTTAGGTATCAATGTATAATGTTGACATCATGAATTCAATCGCGAAGTTCTACTGGAACGACAAGCTCTGCGAGTCCCTCACTGCAGGATGCTCAACGAGTGGAGTTGATGGAGTTTCCCGCTGGAGTTCTGTCAGGTTTGACTGTACGAGCTGCACTGGCAGCGTTAGCCAAAAGCTCAAGTTTGAAGCGACGAAAAGTGACAGATCTCAGATATCGGTTGAAAGTGACACATTTCTCGTACTGAAATCCGAAGTGAACAGCATCAGCAGCAATCTGAACCATGTTGATTGTTATGGTGGAAAGGCATGGCCCTTACAACCTAGTTTTGCACTTCTCAATGTGGAAAATTACATTCTCACCCCGTTCAATGGAGGATCGGCCTTTGTGGAGATCGTCAGTCGACCAACAGACTGTCAAAGTGCTAAACTGCTGGGGAATGCTTCTGTGTTGTTCTACAATGGAATAGCAAACTTCACGGACCTCGCCATTGACAAACAATGCATATCGCCGTACGTTGTCTCGTTCTCATTTTCAGTTGACTCGATGCCAACTGGTGCTAGTCTTGCGCTTTCGACGAATATCACTGTCCAGGTCAACACTGGAGATCCTTACCAGCTCAAGATCACAAGCTTCGCGCCCTCAGGTAGCGATTTCTATGCAGGTTTGCCATTCACAGTCTCAACGCAAGTTTGTGACAAGGGGGGGAATCCAATAACATCCTTCACCAGCAATCCAACAGTGAAAGTTCAAGTTGATGAGGATTTCGTTTCGAACGAGAATCTCATCCTCCAGGGTCAGAGTTGCTTCCTGAGCTGCAGCTTGAGCTACTCGCAAGGGTTGTTCACCTCAGACAACTTGCGGATCAATCAAGCTCCAAGTTTGTTCCGTCTGGCGATCACAACCACCTTTCCGTCGAACACTTTTGTCATCTCGACCATCTACACTGACTACTTCCAACTCAAAGTCGGCAGTGCATCTGAGCTGAGACTGGTCAACCATCCACAAGACTCAGTCAGTGGAGACGTGCTGGGAGACATAGCTCTTATGCTGCTGGACTCTGGCGGGAATTATCTCGTGACCAACTCACAGTTCATAGTAAGAGTTAGCGTCTCGTCCGGCTCGGGATCAATCTCAGGCGTCCTCAACGCCACTACCTCACAAGGTCTTGCCAAGTTCTCACAGATCGTCATAACGTTGACCGACGACATCTGCAGCAACGTGTTGCAGTCTCACATCTTACAGTTCGCCGCAGATTCTGGAGAATTCAGTACCAACTCCCTGCCTTTCATCGTCTCTTTTCCTCCCTCAGCCTCTGATTTTCTTGTCAGTCCGCCTCCCTACATCGGATGCGGCTTGATCTCGGTTCCTCATGTGAAGATCGCTGTCGTTGACAAGTGCGGCTTCATCGTCAGGAGCAGCATGCATGAGGCGAATGTCAGCGCTTTCGTTCAAGACAACGCTCTTGGCTGTCATCTAATGCATGATATCAACTCGAAAACGGATCAAGGGGTTGCTACCTTGTCTGACTTGACACTGATATCTCAGACGGGCTATTGCAACGTCACTTTCTTGGTCTCCACCACTGCTCTCACTTTCTCCCTCTTCAAGCAGATCTATGTGTATCCAGGAAGTGCTGCGAAGTTACAGATGGATGTCTATCATGAACCTGCGTCTACCATGATTCTCTCTGGTCTTCCATTTCCTCATCAGCCTAAGTTGTATGTCAAGGATGCAGGAAACAACTCCGTGAGATTGAATGCTTCCCAGATGCTCATGGCAGTCCTTCTGTCGCACAACGACATCTCTGCTGCCAATACGACCGAAGCTCTTCTTGGCACTACAAATATCAACATTCAAGACGGGATTGCGCTCTTCACGAATTTGCGCGTGAATCAAGTTGGGAACTTCAGTCTTCGTTTCTGGTTTAACGGTACATTTCATGTTGACAGCCTTCCTTTCCAAGTCAGCGTTGGGCCGATCGCCCAGATAGTCTTCACGCAACAGCCGATCTCTGCCATCTTCAACGAGGAGTTCAGCCCTTCACTTCAATTGCTCCTTCTCGACCTCGGAGGCAATCCTGTGCGCGGGACTCCTTGGATCAAGATCACTTCCTCCCCCTACTCGCTCTCCTGCAGTGACTGTGATTCGACTGGTTGCTACGCATATGCAGCGCAGAACGATGGGCATGTAACTTTCTCAGGTTGCAAAGTTCCTGCAGGGCAGCCTGGAGATCTCACTATCAGCGCTCGGGTAGCAGAGCCGAGCATCTTCGGACAAGCTTTTGCGGTCACGTCGAGGATGATCAAGATGACAGGCTTGCCGTCACTCTTGCAAGTCTCCGACCTTCCCCTGCATGTCTCCGCCTTCAATTCATCGCTCGCCCTGCTGCCCTCCCAACCGCAAGTTCAGTTGCTCGACTCGAGTCTGTCTCCTGTCCTCTGGAATGTCGGGAGGGTTACGCTCTCCCTTGGCAAGGCGAACGGTAACGACACGCTTGAGCTCCATGGAACTCTTTCAGTCCCAGTCATTCAAGGGTTGGCTTCCTTCACGGATGTTGGGACGACAGGGCAGGGGTCAAATTTGTCCCTCATATTTCAATATAACGTCTCGTCCCGCTACTTGGTTATCCCTCCTGTCCTCCTCCCTAATTTTTCTTTCGCAAGTGAGTTTCCAGATGTGTTAGAGGTTCACGGGATCGAATCTAGTTTGAGCGCAGGAGACACCAAGAACTTTTCTGTTCAAGGGAAAGATACTTCGGGCTCAGTGGTATCGTTAACGGGCAAAGATATCAAGCTCGGACTGCAAGTGCAGAATTGCACAGCGTGTGTATCGTTTAGAAGTCTGCTAATTTCGAGTGAGAGTTTGATTGTGAATGATGTTGTTCTCCAGAAGCGTGGAAGTTGGAACATGACCTTCACTCTGTCCTGGAACGGCAAATATGTTGAGAGAACAGTTGGTCCTCTTCAAGTCTTTGCTGGTAAGATAGGGCAGCTTGTGATTGTGAATCAACCGGCAAACTCGACAGTGAGTGTCGTCATCGAACCGTTCCCTCAAGTTTCTCTTTTGGACGCTCACGGAAACGATGTTGAATGCAACCCTGCATATGATTACAGTCATTCGTTTCTGAATGTGAACCTTTCCTCGTTGTCGACCGGGTATTACAGATTGGATGGTACTCGCAGCTTGCAAGCTACTTGTCAGAGTTCTCTCCTGACCTTCCATGATCTGTCGGTGAATACCTCAGGGTCTGATTTCTTTCTTGTCTTCTCTATGGCCGTGGATTCCAGGATGATCACGGCGACTTCGGCTGCCTTCGCTGTCAGTAGTCGAACTGTAGAATTTATGCCTCTCTTCTCAGATTTGAATTTGACCTGGACGGCTGGCACTAACTACTCACTAGAATTTCTCGCTCTTGATTCAGATCGAAAGGTGTCTTACTCCAAGAACACCTCTATGCGCGTGGCCCTGGGCAACACTCCCACGAATCTCTATGGGGTGAAAGAAATCAATGCTTCAGCTGTTTTTTTGTTCAACAACTTGTCTGTCATGCAAGTTGGAAATTTCAACCTCACATTTTCGCTACTTGTCCAAGATCAGTTGAGCTACAGCAAGTTTTTTCTTTTGACGGTCATACCTGGGCAAGGACACCAGCTCGTCATTGATCAAAGTCCAGCAATATCCGACAATCAAGCCGGAGTTGCCTTCTCCTGGCAGCCCATCCTCAGGGTAAGTTTCAAACAGCTTGCTTTTTTCCTTTGTGACACCTTCACCCTTCTTCCAGGTCATGGACGCGGCAGGGAATGAGGTTTCCACGGCATACACAGTTTCTGTTTCCTTGGATGTTGATGCGGCTCAATACTCCTCGTCGTCCGGCCTTGAGTTCAGCCCAGCACTCTCGTCGCTGACAGGAAACCGTGTCAAGGCAGCAGCGGGCCGAATCGTCTTTACAGATCTTCTAGTGGACAAGGCTGCAACATCGTACAAACTTCTCTTCGCCTCTGCTGGACTTCCTTCAGCCTCCAGCAGCTTCTTCAACGTCTCCATCGGGGCTCCAGACAACCTGAAGGTCTCTCAGCAGCCCCTCTTCCTCGTTGCCAACCGACCTGCTTCATTCCTGGTAACAACTCACGACAAGGGTGGGAACTTTGTGCCAAGTAACGTATCCTTCACTGTCACGGCTGCTCTCGCTTTGTCTCCCTTTCAGAGTGCCAGCAGCGTTCTTGATGGTGTCTTGCAGCAAAACGTTCATGATGGCAGAGCTTTCTTTGATGACGTCATCTTCAAGGTAGCGGGGGCCTTCTTCCGCCTTCGTTTGAGCAGTCCGGGGTTGACGTCAGCTACTTCTCGAGCCTTTGCCGTCATCTCATCCTTCTCATCTGCTGCCTGCACTGCAAGCACTACAAGTTATGCTCCTTGCGGTCTACCTGAGGAGAACGCGATGTCTCTTGTTCTGCAATCGAGCGGACAGAAAGTTGCGGCAAACGAATCTTTGAACATCAGCTCTATCCTGAAGTTCATTGACACGATGGGAAGGAGTCAATCTCCCGTGTGCTCGTCCATGTTCTACACCGTGAGGAGAGGTGGACTTTTGGTTGATGCCCAGAGTCATTCCCTAGGGGGATGCAGCTCTCTTGATGGGCAGTTTCCGTGCAATTCTTTGCGAGTTCTTCTCATCGGGACGTATGACATTCGCTTCACTCTGTCTTGTTCTGGAATCTTGTATCAGAGCCCAACTTTGAACTTGACCGTCCTTCCCCAAGTGCCCTGCTGCTTACATTTTCAAACTCCTCCTCCATCCCGAGTTGTACAACATGATGAATTTAGCTCACAACTCTACCTGACGGATGCCTATGGGAATCCTGTGAACGACAGCATTTTGATACATGCTGACGTAGTTGACATCCTTGCAAACTCAAAGCCATTCACGTTCAGTGCTCAGCCTATGGAAAAAGGTTCGCTGTCTTTCGTAGGAATGTCCTTCTCGTCTCCCGGCGTCTATCACATCCGCTTCCTTCCCGCAAGCTCAGGCGCCATCGCATCACCGGCTGCTGTCACCGTCGAGGCGTATGCTTCATCCGTGCCCGCCAGCATTTCTTTCTCTGCCTCGCCCGTCACAGCCATAGCAAAGTACGCATCTCAAGACCTCTCCAACAAGAAGAACTTCTACTTGGACGCGCCTCCAAGGTTGCAGTTGAAAGACAGTCTGGGGAACCAGGTCAACATCTTCCGAGGGGTCGTGAAACTATTCTTGAGCTCCTCCAACACAAACTTCAAGTTCACCGGGGACACCACGTCCCTGTTCTTCCTTCCATCGCAAGATCTGAAGAGCGTCAACCTGCAGGCAGCAAGGGCTTCCTCGACGACTTCTCCTGTCACTTTCATTGCGTCAGCTCAGTCTTGTCAGACGTGCAGCAAACTGTTCGACGTCGAGTCAAATCAGATCTACGTGTCCGACTATGTCTCACAGGTCGATCTGGGTCTTTCGCGATCAGGGTTTCCGGCTGGCGATCCCGTGGAGGTTGTCACTTCCATCACAGATGCGGCAGCAAAAGTTTTCTGCGGTCAAGTCACTTTCGCTCAGATGGTCTACTTTGACCCAATGGCGTCAACCAGCGTTGTTGACGTGCAGAATTTTGACTTCTCAGGAATTCCCAAAAATCATTCTTGCGGACAATCGTCGTTGAGTCTCAGCATCAAGAAGAACGTCGGTGCGTACCCGCTCAAGGTCGTTGTTTGCTTGCAGGGCCTGTTTGAGCCGTGCTTCTGGTCGAGATCGCTCCTTCTTAACGTCTCGCTCGGACGAGCTGTCGGCTTTCAGCTGGTCCGAGGCCCCGATCAAACCGGCTCCATCAATCTCGGCGGGTCAGCCTTTGTCCCCCAGCCAGTCCTGCAGGCTGTCGATTTTGGAGGGAACGCCGTCGGAGTGCAGCAGGCAGCGACTGTACGAGCAGATCTGATAGGAGCAGGTCAGTCTCAACTCTTGGGGAATCGCGACTGCAGCGTCAGTGCGAACGGAACCTGTGCCTTCACGAACATGGCAATCGACAGGGCTGGCATGGGATACCAGATCTCTTTCTCCGGCTCCTTGTTCAACACATCGATCCTCTCAAAGCCCTTCAATGTTGCCGTCGGTCCTTCCAGCAAGGTTCGCCTCCTTCAGGCCCCGCTCAACAATTCCGCGGGCGTTCCTCTCGTCGTACAGCCGCTGGCTGCAGTCACAGATGCTGGCGGGAACTGGGTGAACGAGGCGTCGGTGCAGATGGAGATAGGCTTCTGCTGTCAATGCGATACAACGCCAACCAACTGCTCGCTCAGAGGAAACAAGGTTATCTCAACCCTCAACGGAGTGGCGGACTTCACAGATTTGGTGATCGCAAGGACAGGGGCGAAGATCCCTATCCTCTTCCGCCTTCTCCCTGTCAGCGTCGCCTGCTCGTCTGTCAGGTTCCCGTTGGACTGCTCAACCTCGTGCTGCTCGTCAACTGGGAGCGTCACAGTCACAGAGGGTCCTCCTGCAGCACTTGTGCTGCAAGATCAACCTGCCGTGTCGCAGCAAGCTGGTGTGGTTTTCAGTGCACAACCATCGGTACAGCTGGTTGATGCAGGAGGAAATGCTGTTCTAGGATCGAACAAGTTCACCGTCACTGCTGTTCTCGTGACAGGCAGCCAGCAGGTGGAGATGTTGGGATCAACGACACTGGTCGCGACTCTTGGCAGAGTCGTATTCACTGACCTGAGGACCATGAAGGAAGCGAGTAGCTACACCCTCACCTTTCGCGTGTACCAGGACGGAGTTGCTATAAACATTTCAGTCTCCTCTTCCACCTTTGCAGTCTCCACTGGACAGCCAGCTGCTTTGATCTTTGATGGAATCCCCAGCAAGCGACCAGCAGGAACAGCGCTGTCGACCTTCCCGAGCGTGAAGTTGGTGGATGCTGGAGGAAATCGAGTGATCTTGCCGTCTGCCAAAATTTCCTACTGGTTGCAGAGCAGCTGCCAACAAAGTGTGATAGTCGGAGATGTGCAGCAATCCTCGTCCATAGCCTACACGTGGACGTCAAGCATCAACTATCCCTGCTCCTCCAGCAGGCTCGTTGCTTCCGTCTCCTCGTATCCCTTCATCGCACTGTCGAAGCCGTTTGTCATCGACGTCGGAGGTCCAGCAGACTTCCTCGTAGTGCAAACGATGGCCTATCAGATTGTCGTGAAATGGCAGAATCCCCCGACAGGACCAGCCCCGTCGACCTACCTCATCGAGTACTCTCCGTTCGCCTACCCCAACGGCACAGAAGTCTTCATCTCTTCGATGACCATCTCATCGCAGTCAACGACAGCAACACTGACGGCGTTAGACCCAAAGGTTCTCTACAACATCAGTGTGTGCTCGCGCTCTGTGTATGCGACTCAACCGGCCTGCTCGTCTGACTCCTTGTCGCTTTTCTCAGCTCCTATCGCAAGTGCTGCCAACCTCACAGTCGAGCATGTGGACGAAAGTTCTGCTTTCATCTCCTGGTACTCGCCCTCCCTTGGCCTCCAACCTCCTTCCTACCGAGTCATCCAGCGCTGCGTCGACAACCGCACTTGTGGTGAAATGTACAACGTCGACATGGCGGCCCTGACCTTTGTCACCTCTCTGTCCTCCTACGTCTCGCAGGATCGACTTGGGTCCTCTTTGCCGGGCACGAAACTCAGCTACTTGATCACCAACTTGACTTCGGGCCGAGGATACACCTTCGAGGTGCGATCGCAATTCGCCGCTCCGGGCAACATGTTCTCTCCGTCAGGTCCAGTCACGCAGACTATCTACCCCACGGCCACCGCAAACTCTCTCTCCTTCAAAGTCGAGTGTGTCGCTCCTTGCAACAACCCGCCGACCATGAAGCTCAGCTGGACAGCAGCTCCTGACGAGAACTCTAGGGTGGTTGTCAACTACCTCAGCATCGTCGCTCCTCCCGTGACATCTCCCTTCACCAGCACGGGTGAGTACAGCTTCCCGAACAGCACCTTGGTCCGCGGGGCCTTCCTCTTCATCCAGCTGCTCACTCAGAATGTTCCTTCCAAGCTGGACATGCCGGTCGCTCAGATCTCCTACAGGCTCGTGTCTCGCCCGGCTCCTCCCTTCTCTCTCGCTGTCGTCATCGTCAGCAACGACCTGTTCTTCGTGAGCTGGCTGCCTCCTATTGATGTCGGGGATGGAACGAGAGATGGAGTGCCGATCCTCGGGTACAACGTCAAGTGCAAGCGAGCAGACGCGACCGTCTTGTTCGATACGACAGTGGGGCGGGAGGTGCTCAACGTGACGATTTCCTCGCTGCAACGCGGAGAGACTTACGAGGTCTCCGTGACCGTCACGACGAAGAAGAATCTCCTGGAGGGAGGAGAGCAATTTGTCAGCGAGCCAGCAACTGTCGATCAGTACATGGGCTACCTGCCTGTTCTGATCCCCTCCTTCGATGCTGCCGTCACCTACGACGCCTTCATCGGAGTCGTCTTCAGCAGGAACTTGACAGCGCAGGACATGGATATCAACCAGACTCTAGAGGTAGTGATGGATAACAGCGAGGGCTGCCTCGGCAGCCTCCTCCTCCTCCATGGGGCAAACCCCGTGCTGTTCCGCTATTCCTTCCTTCCCAAGGTCAGCGACTCTGGCAAGATGATCACCAGCTGCTTCCTCGCTCGAGACTCGCAGGGTCTGACCTCCTCCAGGCTCTGTATCCTCCTCCGCATTGCGAGCCCGAGCCCTTCCTTCCTGCCACTCGCCGGTGCCCTGCCGCTCGCCAGCGCGCTTCCTGCGCATGTGAAGGGAGAGTTCCTGGCAACGGCAGGATGCAGCCTTGCCGTGACCATAGCGGGCGCAGACGGAACGAGCGCGGGGATCTCACCCGCAGAAGCGTCGATCCTCGGCTACGAGCTGAGGATGAAGCATCAACTCACTATCATCACCTCCGCCGCGGGAACTTCGCTGACCTTGCAGGGGCTGCCGCCCGGCGCTGAGTTCCTAGGGTCCGACATGGTGTGGGCGAACCCGGTGGAGAGAAACTTGCTGTGGAAGCCAGCGAGGGGGCAGGATTCGCTCAAGTACGACTTCTGCTTCATCCTTACAGATTCCTCGGGCATCTCAACGACTGGAGGGTACGGGCTGCTGGGAGGAAGCGACTTCTGCCTGCGCATATCTGTCAGCCGCTGCAAGTACTGCATCCAGGTAAGGCTCATGAGCACCTGCTGCTGGTGTGTTGACCTTTGATGTGCAGGAGGGCGAGTCTCTCTACGACATCTCCCACGTGTGGCGGACGACATGGCTGAACCTCTGGAGCGGCAACGAGCAGCTGGTTCACCCGGCACTCCCCGGAGTCGGAACAGAGCTCCTGCTCGGGCAAGTCTACAAAGCTCTGGCAAGCGACACCCTCCAGTCTCTGTCCGCCAAGTTCATGGTCACCATCGACGACTTGGTCTTCTGGAACCCCGACCTTGCTGTCAACGTGTCGCTGTCGAGCACGGACAGACTCGTGGAAGGACAGGCCATCTGCATACTCCCCAAGGTGTGTTGAGGCGAATGGTAGCGCATGTTTGTTTATTTGTTATGAATGTACATCTAGTCCAAGGCATCCACATCCTGATACTCGAGACGCTTCTCTCGCTCTTTTTCCCTCTCTGCCAGCGTCGATTTGTCCACTTCCTGCCTGAAAAGAGATCAGCAAACGAGACAAGTCCATACAAGCTCTACCTGTCCTGCACATCCGCCAGTATCTTTGAACCTAGCTTCTTCATCTCCTCTTCGAAGATTTTGTTTGGGGACACGATAAAGGCATGCTGCTCCTCCCGCTCCTCCCGCTCCTCGAACTCTTGCATGACCTCTTGCAGCGGGTTTGCGTTCTGCACCTCGTCCAAGTCGAAGTTGCGGGGTCTGTCTCCTTGTATCTCCTCTGTGAACTTCTTGAAGATCTGATCATTCTCCGCTCGTTGGTGCCTCTGCTTGACAACCTCCCAGGTCTCCTGCAGGATTTGAACGCTGCATGATCGTAAGCTGAGCTCGCACAAATCCAACACAACCAGCGAGCTCGGTCTTGGACGTCGTCGTGCAAGGGCTTCACGATCTTGGCGATCTCGTTCCTACCAGGACCATGACGGTGAGCATCTTCAAGACTGATGGACCAGCTCACCGAATGTTCAGCTCCGCTTCCTCTTCCTGCCTCTTCAAACGCCTTCGCTCTCTCTACCACTCATGCGTCAAGGTCAACACGCTGAAGACTTGCGCGGGCTGACCCTCTCGCGCTCCATCCGCTCAGGTTCAGTCAGGAGGAAGTAGGTTTGGTTGCAGTCTTTCCAGCGCTGGAGGGCCTGCGCGTCATGTCATGGAGGCTCATGCGACATGTCAGACCTTGGCATATCCATGACGATGAGCTGCATTGAAACATCTCATCGCTCTCACGAGGTTGGCAGTGTCGTTCTGCAGCAGGCCAACCCTCCACGTCAACAAGAGCGTCTGCTCAAGACGCTTCTGCTCACCCCTCGCATCCATTGATAGCGGAGCCCGAGAGTGTAGAGAGCCTTGGGATATCCCTGCACACATTCAGAGCCCCCTGTCTCAGCAGCTTGTTCTTCTACCTGGGCAGCCGACCTGCATAGGAGGATGACGCTAGTGTTGAAAAGTCTTCGATTCAGATGGAGGTCTGGACTTGATGTGACCGATGATAGCGGCTTATTCGACGAAACAAATCGGCATATCAATCTCGAGAGAGCATACTGCACGAGGAACAAGAGCGTTGGATCAGTCAGGAAGTAGCAGAGGGGGAGGAGACCTGGGCCCGAGGGTAGTCGTTCTTTGCTGCCAGAATCAACAAGCGCAAAGTGCTTCCCTGAATGACTTGCTTGTCTGCCTTACGTCTGATGTTGCAGAGATTGTACAGAGACTGCAATCACTTGTCATCGTGGATACAATCTTAGAGCACATCACCTTTGCGTACCCAGATGTTGCCGACTGCTCGAACCATTTTTCTGCTTCAACCGGATCCGGTCCATGCGTGTTGGCTAGTTTCTTGCTGATGAAGCTCATGAGAGCATGGAGGAAGCCTCCTCGCCTCACCTCGCGTTCGTCAACAGTTTGGCTGTTCCTCCTCCCAGATAGAAAGGTTGAATCTCCTTCCTTAATCGCATTCCCTTCCCTGCGACAGCCCATGGCATCACGGTGTGGCTTGAGGAGGGAGGCGTGGGAAATACCTTTCATGAACCTCCATGCGATGTTGAACGATGCGGCTCGATGCCCCGCCTGAGCTGCAAGCAGAAGCAGCTCGTTCGATCGCTCCTGCTCCCCCGTCAGAGTGCGATTCCCTCGCTCAGTCTCACAATGTCCTGCTCGCATCCCTTCCCCTCTGCAAATCGTTTGCCCATGACATACTGAGCCTGTTGGAAGCATCAAGACCTCCAACACTCGCGCCCTTCCTGCCACCTCCGCATCGCCGGCATCCGCCACCTCCAGGAACAACTTGCTCGCTTTGTACTGCAAGAAGAGACATGGTCTGACCAGAAGCAACATGGCGAGATGCCCGAGAACTCACCTGATCTTGGCGCACGCCTCGACCAGCAGCATAGCAAACGGCTAGGTTGAACTTGGAGTCCACATCTCCCAACTGAGACGCGGTCAGGAAGCAGCGGAAGGCAAGGGTGAGGTCGGATGCTCTGGAAGACTGCAAGGATACACAACATCCCAAGAGCCGAGTCGCCGTCGCGTTCCCGTCTTCTGCTTGCTCGTGGAGAGTGTTCATTAGCGACATGAGGACTTTGCGGTCAAGGTCCTGCTGCTGTAATCTATCCGGCGCAGCTGCGAACTTGGTTGTTTCTGTTCTCCCTACCTCCTGGCAGGTGAAGATAATGGCAAGCAGGACCCACAGCTCTGACGGACGCATAATGCTCTCCTCCTCCCTCAGCTGTTCTTTCCCTCCCTCACCTGCCCTTTCCCTCCCTCAGCTGTTCTTTCCCTCCCTCAGCTGTTCTTTCCCTCCCTCAGCTGTTCTTTCCCTCCCTCAGCTGTTCTTTCCCTCCCTCAGCTGCTCTTTCCCTCCCTCAGCTGTTCTTTCCCTCCCTCAGCTGTTCTTTCCCTCCCTCAGCTGCTCTTTCCCTCCCTCAGCTGCTCTTTCCCTCCCTCAGCTGTTCCCCTCCTCGCACTCCTGCCATTCCTTCGACTCCATCCATTCCCGCCACCGAATGATGGAACCCGCCTCAGATTTTTCAAATCTACACGCCTGCCACCGCGCGGCGGCCAATGACCAAGGCTCATGATTTAAAGTAGCAACTTACTGGTACCAAGCACCACCTCAAGTACCACCATCGCTTCAACGCCACACCATCGCTATCGACGATCAGAACTCTTGCAGGGCTGATGAGTTGCCGGGAAGCACGAGGAGCGAGGCGGTGAGACGTATAGGCGTGTAGAAGAAATTACAAGAGAAGGGACGGAGACCGATGGAGACATGTGTGGTGTTCATCATAAACTTTGTTACACCTTTTATTCATCGAATTACTTCTTGCGCTGGTTGACCATTCGACCCTTGAAGTTCTCGCGAGATCTTCCATCCCATCCTGCAGCACCAGGCGAGCCAGTCAGCGGAAAGAGCCAGGAACAGCAGCACACTCACGGGTCTCGGAGCTCCCAGGGTTCACCTTCCTCCGTCTTGCACTTGTTTTCCTTCCTTTCGTCGAAATGGATTTATATACATCTTGAAAGGTTCTGTCAATGATTACCGTCGACCCTTCCTGTTGATCTTTGTCTGCCAATGCTGCTGTTTCACCGACCTCCGTCGTTGCTTCTGCTTCCTCTCCCTTCTCAGGGACACCCGCAGGCTCTTGCTGCTCTGGGCCGCTCGAGACGACGACAAGAGCTGGTCGGACCACCCTGGTAAGAGTCAAGGAGCCTGCCAGCGCAAGAGATTTCCAGCTCGCCCTCACCTCTTGCCCACCATGTATCCCCGCTGGAACTGCTCGGCCACGAACCCATCGGGATGCTCCGACGAAGGTCGCTGCGAGACAGCTTCGTGCTTGAGAGGGTCAAACTTCTGCCCCAGAGACTCGATGGTAGCCACTCCCTTGAGTCGAAGGCGGGTAAGGAGGGCTGTGGTGAGAGGATCGAATCACCTGTTGCTCAAGGATGGCAAGAAGGAGGGAATCAACTTCCTGGATACCAACAAGAGGAGGTCAGGCACTCAGCAGGGCATCAGGGGCCGACCTTGTAGGATGAAACTATCTCCTTTTCCCTGTCTGTTTGTAAGTTGAAGGAACTTTCAGCTCGTTCCAACGAGTCCAGCACCTTGGGGGTTGGAAAGCTTCACACAAGAGAAAAAGCATCGGAGACTAGGGTACCTTCATCAGGTTTGACGTCACATCTGCAGCGGCAGACTCTCTAGCTGTAGCCAGCTCTTGCTCTGACCTGTGACCGTGCCTCAGCAGCAAACTCGGCAAGTGGGACTTCACCTGGTCTTGAAGTTTTCAAAGTCCGTGGCCAGTCGCTCGTACGTAACGGACAGCTCCTTGCAGGACGGCCTCGTCAACTTCTTGTCCTCCACCTGAGCGAGCCAACCTCACACCCTGCCACACCTGCGCTCCTCCTCACCAGCTCGTTCAAGGGACGAATCTCAGTCTCCAACTCCTGGTACCTCGCGCGAGTTTCGAGGACACGAGACTCTAACTCGTCTGCGCGAGCGCGCAACTCAGGGTAAGACGAAATGCTGCGACAACGAGTGAACAAATCTGAGCATAAGAAGTGTGCGAATCACTTCAAGGAGATCTGTGTAGGAGAGTAGATCAAAGGGCATATCCCATCCAGCAAGCTGAAACATGGATCACATATGGCGATCGATTCATCCAACCATGCACCTGTCAACGATGTGAACGACTCCGTTGCTGCACTGCAAATCTGCCGAGTAGATGATGACAGCGTTGCATTTCTTGACCTGTCCTTCCTGTCACTCATTGGGCACGACAAGTATCAGCGCAACAAACACGTTCCTTCTGCTTAATCTCTTCGTCCAACACATAGTCCGTGTAGTCAGAGGGGGTGGTGGCTGATTGAAAATTCAGGACCCTCATCGACCTTCCAACACTTCACCTGTGCGAAGATCTGTAACAACCTTTCGTCCTCGTGCGGAGGACAATGTTTCATATCTCCCATTCAGTTTGTCGATGGACCAGCGGCCCTTGACAAGGCTACATGGAGTCAAAACACGAAGAAGCGAAGATCTGCGGACCTTCCCAACAGAAACTGTTTCAACTCTTCCATCAAGACTTGCTTCCTGCCTTCAGGAGGGACCTGCAAATTTTCGATGCATTCCCACAACAGGCAGTCTTTAGGAAGCTTCACAAGGACTATTATTAACTTTGCGATTGTCCGGGGATCAGTATACCTTGCTGAAAGCGCTGTTCGACGGAGCAAAGAATGTCCACGTTTCATTGCCGTTGCTGAGCGTCTCAGCTAAGCCTAGGTAAAGTTGATGCTTACAAAAGATGATAATTACACTTCAAACCTGTCGCATTGAGAGCAGAAATTAAAATGCTGAATTCTGCTGTCAAGCTGAATATTGATAAGTGCAAGGAAGTCACCAAAACAGTTTGAAACCTGTTCATCTTTGACAAAGACGCCATCATGTCCATTCTGTCCTTAAACATGTCTTCTTCATTTGGCTTCCGAAACTGTTGGCACCATGCAAGCAAAAGTGAGCCTGTTTTTTGTTTGGTCAGGGAAAAATTCACCCGATTGAAGAAGCTCTGCACGGCCGATGACGATGACTTGATGAGATTCTTGGCCTTTTCGCCCAGTTTTGGCCCTGCAGACTCAACCTGCGAAGGCTGTGCCTGGCACAAGGGCAGCCCTCGTCTCGTTCGAAGGTGAATTTTGGATTCGGACTGTGACAAATCTCAGATGACGTCCAGCTCGTCGTCACAGTGAGCACGTGAAGTGTGGAAGGCAGCCGAGTATTGACGAAACCATGGCCTTTGGTGCAATCAGAAATTAAGATGTTAGAATATTGACTCACAGGTTGCGATCAAGCTGAAAAGGAAGGCCGCGTACGATAAGAATGAAAAACTCCGCATTCTCCTCTCTTTGATGTCTTTCTCCCACAGAAACCCAGAATTACCTGTTCAAGAAGGTCTTAGGAAGACCTACATGCTGCCCCTGTTTCTTTGCTTGTACTTGTCCCTTTCTCGTTCTCGTTCTCGTTCTCGTTCTCGTTCTCGTTCTCTTTCCCTTCCGCTCCCACTCCGTTTCCCTCTCCCTCTCCCTCTCCCTCTCCCTCTCCCTCTCCCTCTTCCTCTCCCTCTTCCTCTCCCTCTTCCTCTCCCTCTCCTCGTCCTTCTCATCCTCTGTTCTCGCTTCCCTATCGAGATCCCTTCGTCCCTCACCCCAACCAACCTCCGACCAACCTTCAGCGATGCATTGTGCCCCCTTTTTACAATTTTGTAGATTTGAAAAGAATCCTGATTTTTGTTCCTTGAACTTCAAATCTCTGCTGTAAATTGAAATGGATCCGCCCCAAATGCAACCACATCCCCGCACTTTCACCACTCCCGCGACCCTGCGGCTTCTTGACGAGCCTTCCGAGTTCAGTCCGAATCTCCGAGAGGCTTTTCAAGTTCTTCCCGAACCGTCTCCGAACTTCTCAGTCTGCTCCCTCTTGTGCATAGGTGACTCAGTGACTGTGACTCCTCAGTGGGCCGACTCGGCGCACCGCGCGCGGCCCCGGGCCCCGCGGGGCGGCCGGCGGCGGGGTGATTCAAGCCTAGAAGGGGTAGTAGTGCGGCCGCTTCCGGGTGACAGCGGCACTGGGCCCGGGCCGCGCCGGTCTCAGGCCGCCCGACTCGGCGATGATGATGCCGCCAGGGACGGGCCGGCCGCTCCTGCGCCCAGGCCGCCGCGGGCCCCTAGGCGCCCTCTCACGTTGAAACTATGGCGGGCCGGACACTTCCGATGACTTTCAGTGATGTCACAACTGTTCTCGGTTGAAACAGGTGCACTAGCAGCGGCTTTACTGATTTCAAGTTTGTATGACTCCGTTCAACGGTTTCAGCTTCGTTCCATCATCCGGTCCGTCGCCGCCGTCATCGCCGGGCGGAACCGCCGGGCAGTCACTGTTTGACAGCCAACACTGCGTGACGAATTGTAGGACCGAGAGGAATAGCCACACAAGTTTAGCATCTAGATTGCATGGACTGACAATTTGCAACAATGCTGATCAGCACAGAATAAGAAGAAAGGTTGTCCGGGCTTTTATTGCCGGGCCACATCGCTCGACTCCTCGCTCTCGTCCATCAGACCTTCTTCCTTGCGTCGTGCAATCAAATACTTCTTCAGCTTCATGGACTTGACCTGCATGATTGTGAGAAAGTCCATCTCCGACAACAAGATTCGAGTGCTCATCATACCAAGGAAAGGTCGACAGTACCCCACGTTGAAGGATCAATGCCTCTGCGGCGGACCTCCTGAGTCAAAGGATAAGATCAAGCGGAATGGAACACCAGTCACTTTCCTTCTTTTCAGAAGTCGATGAAGGAGAAGCAGTTTCGGAAGACGTTCCTGTGAGTTCTGACATTTTGATTTTGAAGGCTTTGCCCATAGTACACTTAATCAAACAACTCTTGAGAAATTGACCGGATAGCGACTTTGGGCGCAGATCTGTGATTGTTGACACGAAAACGGAGAGGTTTTCCTTGATTTGTTCTGGCGTGTAATCGATCTTGCCGATACATCCATGGATGTACCCTGCCTTGTCGACCTTGAACACCAAGCCCGATCTGAGGTCCTTGATCCCTTTTTCGATGTCCTCCGTCACTGTCTGGGTCTTTGGATTTGGCATCAGACCACGTGGGCCAAGAATACGTGCTGCATATCGTAATCAGCCTCAGCATAGGATAGCAAGCGATCAAGGGCGAGACCTATGCTGTTGAGTTTAGGCATTGCTTGCGGAGTAGCCAGACATCTTCACAGAGATCAGAATTTTCTCTCGGGCATACAGCAGTACCTTTCGAAATCCAGCTTTCCTTCCTTCACCTTTTCAATCAAGTCCTCAAGTCCCACGTTTTCCACCCCAAGCCTGTGTTAAAGCCCATTAGCAACCAAAAAGTTCTGACAAAAATCTTCACCTCTTGGCTGCATCAGCAGCTTCACCAGTGGCAAAAACAGCAATCTTGATCGATTTCCCGTTACCTTCAATCCGAATTACAAAGTCACAGAAATTGAATGGAAGGAATGGATGAGGCTGATCAATTACCGTGTGGCAATTTGACAAGCCCCCTTATCAAATGGTCTGCCTTGCGGGGGTCCAAGGCTGTCTCGATACACACTTCCACACTGAGGCAACAGGCAAAATGTGAGCAACTTGGAATAAATTCATAACGTAACAATGGACTTTCACCTCTCAACGAATTTGCGATCTGATCCCTTCAAAACCTTTTGCACGGCCGAATCTAGATCGTGCAACTTGTTCGTGCTCTGTGATGCGAATCTTCTTCCGTCCAGAGTTGTCGCGCATGTTCCCCACATCAGGTGAGAAAATCCCGCACCATAGCTGGGCATGAAACATCCCTGCATCGCGGCAGCTCCCGCTGGCCTCCCTGCCTTCCGCAAGGCCATCGACCCCGCAGCGCATGCTGCTCGCAGAGCCATAGCCTCTCAAAGGTACCCCCACTTTCCTCTGTTGACTACCGTATCATTCCCAGGGTCCTGATGACCCATGGAGGAAGCGCATGATAAGATGTTCTCTTGTTTTAATTAGAGCCTCACTTATAAAATCATGCCTTTGTCGATACCCCTGTTCATCCTATGTTCGTCGTTGCTCCACCCACATTCCCACTGAGGCCCTCCAAAAGTTCGCATGAGCGAGATGCAGTCTTGTCCCGAGTTGGCATAGCCGCATCGATGGCAAGGATTTCATGCCGACTGATCGCCGTCAGCGAGGAGGGAGCAGAGGCGAGACGGGACGAGGCAGACAGGTTCTGGAAAGAAGCTTCATCTATTTCCCAACATCACTTTGCCAACCGTGTCAGCATTGTAACTCCAAGGGTTCAGGAGCCGGCCAGAATCAACAAAGACAGATTTTCCATCATCACTGCTCGCCCGGCGATATTTCTAGACCCTTCTTTCATAGCGAGGTACGTCAAGGACGGTGACTTGTACTGTCTAACATCTGGAAATGCGACACTGTCTTGCAATTCGATGTGTATTGTGAAAGGAAAACTGTATCTTCACGTTGATACCTCCACCTACAAAAGTTGGGATTGGTAGGGGCCGAAGTGAAATTTCATCAAGGGGAAAAATCGTACCGAATATCAGTAGACTTGTTAGCAGACTCGTTCTGTGCGGGCAAGCAGCTATATGATCGGGTATCTTGGTGCCTCTCCAGGATGCAGCCTATCAGGATCCTTGTTGCTCACTGCCGCGAGGGGACTTGTGAAGCCGTCGAATTACATGAGCAAAATGTCGATAGCTGTACATGTTTGGCGATCGAATATTCTAGCATGAACAAGAAAGATATTCACATTCCGGTCTTTACCCCAGCTTGCGAGGGGAGGTTGGAGGCCGAGGGTATACACGACCTCCTGGAATGGGTAGGGCTTTGCACTTTGCAGAGTAACTCCAGAGACTCAGGAGATGTTGACGAATTCGTCGAATTTGCCAGGGCACCCCAGCTTTTTCCTACGGTGAAGGGTGAAGTCTTCGTTCAAAACATGGCGGGGTTCATTCCAGCTCCAATGGTTGTCAGAGAAATCATGGAGTTGTCTTCCTCAATTCGCTCGCGCAAGCTTGATTGGGCTGTCATCGTGATCTGGGGCTTTGATGATACCAGTATGTCTTGGAGAGAATGCTTGCATGCTGACGGCAACGGCTTCAGAGAAAACGACACAGTCGCTATCTTAATGCCGAACAACAAAATCATGATATGCGACCTGATGGGTTCGTGTGACACATACAACTAAAAAGAACAACCATTCCGAGCACATTTATTTACAGATTCCATTAAGACAATAAAAAAACAGACTGTCGAAAATTCACAAATCATGCAAACTGAACAGTTGAATAGCTAGGGAACGAAGGAGCTAATCGTAGATGAGAAATCGTGTCCAATTAGTCCTGTTGCATTTACAATGGGCTGCCATACTCGTGTCCCATCAGATTGCCTTCGTGGACCTTCGATCGCACTTGTGTTGATGGCACTTAGATCTGGCAGCAGGTACATCTGTAGCGTGATAGAGCTTGCAGAAGACGCGTTGATCCCGTACTCAGACAGCTCCCTGTCGTCCTCGAGGACCTTGCCCTTCAGGACAAGCCTCTGAAACTCGTGCTTGTATTCAGGTACTTGTTTCTCAAGCAGAACTTTGAGGTTCTTGACAAGGAAATATTTCTGGAACTCCACATGGTACGTTAATTGCTTGCACTGGAAAGTCGTATCCAGCACATTATTCTTGTCTCCGAGCTTCGCAATGCTCACAGTGCCCTTGCCGATGGGCTTGCTGTTGTAGAAGGTGTCAGTCTGACCCCTTCCGATCGGATATCTCGCCAACGGCCCGTTGCCATGAGGACCCAGCCCGTTTCCTTTGATCACTTCAATCTTGATGACTGGTGGGGTCATCGGAAGAAAATGAAAGTATATAACAAGAGGCGAGGATGGGAAGGCAAGAAGACAAGAGACTGATGGAACGAGAAGCAAGAAGCAGGAATGGCTGGACCTCTCTGCTGTGCACTCAGACTCCAACCACGTTGCTCTTCAATCTCCACCCTCGCTCCTGCCTCGCTCCCCCTTTTCCGTTGAAACAGCCGTTGGCTGTTTTCTCATTTCCTGTCGGGGACCACACGCTCGGGGGAAACTTCGGAAGGAAGAGCTACGAGGGACGTCGGGAGGAGCAGCGAGACCGAGATGCCTCGACGATGACTGGGACGAGCAGGAGACCTCGATGACGTGCCGTGTTGGATTGGGAAGCTCTGGTTGAGCGATGGACTTGGTCGCTCCTCATATCTTTACTGTCAACCTCACTTCTAATGTCGTGGATACCACTCAGAAAGTCTGTAGAAATTGCCTGCAAGTCGAGCATGACTGACACGAAACACGATCACTCTCATCTCGCACTCTGTTACCTCCATCCTTGTCACTGTAGGCCACTGCCGAGGTCTTGAGGCCAAAAATCCTTGGAAAGTACCCACTCCTCCGCCTTGCCCACGTTGCCATGTAGCTCGTAGCTGAGGAGTACGCCCCGGAGGTCCCCGGGACCAGGACACCCTGGAACGAGTGAGTGTGAAAGGAGAGGACAGAGTTGCATCAAAAGGAGCAAACCTTGTCGACAGCATCGTAACCTGTTTGAATGGCAGAGATCTCATCCAACAAGCCTGCCCTTTCCCATCCGTCGGACAAGATGTTGTATGTCTCATGGTTTGGCTTCGGAAACTTGTACCGTATCTCAGAATCAATGCCCTCAAACCTGGAGAGGCGTCAGACACATTGAAGCAGACTGAGGCGAATCATGGGAGAGCAGCACCTGGTCCTGATAATCTCGATGATATCACGATTTTCCATCTGCATCACCAACTGCTCAGCTCGTTTGATGTTTCCAACTCTCATCCAGGCATCAACAACGATGTTGCACATATGAGGGGTGACTTCAATGTGCTCTTGACAGATCGACCGCAGAACTCTTTCCGCCTTGGAGGCTTTCGGAGGGTCGTCGTCTCGCAGGGATCTGAGCAGGGTTTCATATGAATTGCTGTTTGGCTGAAACCCTTCAAACTTCATCCGTCTGATCAGCGCATCAGCATCATCCGAGTATGGACCACAGGATCGTATGATGCGATTGATCTCAAGCAACTTGCTGTTTGTTGCGTTGTTAAGCTTTTGCCTGCGAACATAAAGGTTGTCCTCTTCCTCGACTTTCACTCGTATGCTGTGTTTGTCAGAGTAGCTCGCCTTCATGCCTCTCCTTGTAAGTTCTTCGACCAAATGTTGAGCGTCGGAGTAGTTGGACAGCAGAATGATTCCATTTCCAGTTGGCTTCCCTCGAATGGTATCAACTTTAGCATCGTGAATCAACGCCAGAGTCATGTTTCGAAGGTTGTTGAGAAAATCATCGCTATCCCATGCCACATCTAAATTTTCAACGTGCACCTTCACCCAGTCCTGTTTCCGGAGAAAATCTTTCTTCCTCCCCCGCTGCTCTCCAAGGGACTGAGGCGCAATTCCACCGAGAGGTCGGTACCCACCTCTTGGACAACAGGACATGGATGGCTGGAAGTTCTGGTACATGGATGCTGAGAGCGATGGTGTAACTCGTGCATTCTCAACTTGATTGGGAACTTCGTCGATCATGGGGCTCGCTTCCATTCCGACATCTTCGTGAAGGAAATGCTTCAGATGCCTCTCGTCTCTCAGCAATGTGCACGTCTGAGCATTCGGACAGTGATGCCAGAATCGCTTCATGTGTCTTGGATCGTGCAGATATCTGCATGCCACAAATGAACAAATCCTCCTCTGTTCATGGTCAGCTGAGAACAGTTTCCCTTGACCATCGATGTCACTGCGTTGTGTGTATGCATCCGTGTGTCGTTCTGAACTTTTTTCGCCTGCTGCTTCTTCATCGATCGCCTTCTGCAGAGATGGATGGTACAGCCGAACCACCGACAAGCCTCTCTTACTCCTCTTTCCTGCCTGAGTGGGTTTTTCCACGGCTGAGCTACTCTTGTGGGGACTTGACTCCCCGTCATCTCCGTACAACCATTCACCAATTTCTGGATCAATTTCTCCAGACACAACGACCACGGACACGTTTGGGTCTGCTTCCATCTCAAAGTTCATGAACTCAGCTCAGTCCGGAAAAGATTTGATAGCAACACTGAGTACGGTAGGCGCGGGGTCCCTGGCCGACTCTGCCGACGATATGCTGCCATTGTTGTTAGGCAAGCCCCTCTCCACTGAGCAAGGGCCACCGTGGCACCCACTGCCAGCCTGATGATGTCAGGCCCTGGCTGAGCCTGGCCCTGGCTCCGCAGCTGCCGTTGCCAGGTCTGAAGGCTAGTTGGTGATGGGCAAGATGGTGGGGCGGGGCCCGGCCGCGCAAGTACGCCGGGGGGCGGTTGGTATCCCGGTACACGCCGTTTGGAAGTTTGTCCGGGTCCGGGTCCGAGTCGGCCGGGCCTGGCCCGGCCCCCCGCCGGGCCCGGCACCGTCGACGCCGTCCGATCGTTACCGCCCCGCCGTACTACGTGACGACGGGAGTCTCCGAGGCTCATGACGGGGCCGGGGGATCCGACTCTCATGTCAGTAGGCTACCCGGTAGTACGCGGCTACGGCGGCGCCCGCCCCCCGCACACGTGACAGGCTCACTGCCGTCACACTCCCGGGGCCGCGGGCCGGGCCCGGGCCGCCGGGCCGTTGCGCCGGCCGCTCACTGGCAGTGAGTCAGCCCGGCGAGCCTCCCGCTCCCGGCCGGCCGGGCCCCGGCTTCAACTTGCCAAGTTTCCGATTTCAACTTGAGTTAATACTCAAAGTTAACTTCACGTGTAAAAAATGGTACGCCGTTGCACATCGGGCCCGGACGTCGGACGGTGCACCAGGCCGGGCGAGGGGCATCCCTCTAGTGTGGGGAAGAGACCGGGGGGGCGCCATCAAGTGGGGAACAGGGCGTAGCCTACTAGCACCGGGGCAGAAGCCTCCGATCAGCACTTTTTGACTGACCAGAAGCTCGTAAGGGGAGGGTGGGGTAGGAGGTAGTACGGTGACCTCTAACGGGTGTCGGAGGGACGTGGCGGGGTACTGGGGTCCTGTGGTGGTCCTGAGGTCTTGTCCAGGGGTAGGGTCCCTTCAAGGGTTGTGAGTTTGCGACTTGGGGCCGGGGGCAGACGACGCAGCTGTAGTAAAAATCATTGAAGTGGGGTGGGTGGTTGGAAGAGACAGGTGGTACTATGACTGTCTGCTGTGTACGGGGTCTTCAGCCGGATTTTGGAGGTAAATGCGTGGGTGGCTTCAATATGTTCTGAACCAAGCACCCCTCTATCATTGCTTTGGTATGCTTCTCGAAAGGTGGGGGTAGTGACCGGGGTGTTGGCCCCTGCAAGGATTGGGGGCCGATGACCCCCTTGGTGATGCATGTGCAGTGGTGGGTGTATCATCCTGAGGGGTCAGGGGTAGTCTGTGGGATGCAGAATATCTGGTAGTCGTAAATTAGGCCGCAGGGGTTCAGTCTGAAAAAGAGATTGGGGGGGGTATACAAGATTTGTACTGTCGGAAGTGGGGTACAATGGCAAGGGGGTAGATGTTTTGGGGGTGGTGATAGGTTCCAACTATTGGGGGTGGTAGTTATCGAATGCGATTGGTCCGATTGGGAAGGACAATTGTTACCTGCAAGGGTGGGTACTTCTCAATTCCAAGCTCAGGCTTGGGGGTACTACGGATTCTTTCGATGCAGTGCTGTATCAAAAGTAAGGGTGAAAGTACTCAACGGGTAGGGTGGGGGTATTTTCAGATGGGGTACAGAGATCATAGGCAGTAGTCTGGGGTAGAAAGAGCATTGCGACCCATAGGAAAGGTTACAAAAATGAAGCCATGAATACCACCGGTAGTATACGTTCTCAGAGGGGGTGGTAGAGAGCATTGATACAAGGGGTGTTTGAGACACAAATAAATGGGGGTATGAAGACACGACAACGAGATATGTCCCATCTTCCAAGGAAAATTTGAGGGTGGGGTACTGGCTATATGGGGCAAAGTTAAATGGTGGGGTGGGGGTGTGAAGAACTCCTCACAAGGGTAGGGGAATTCCAAGCAGGGGGTTATTTGACTCTTACATGCTCGGTAGGGGTATTTTCAGAGGGCAACCATGGGGAGGATGGGGGTGATATAGATAGTCGCAAACTTGTTTGGGGTAGGGTAAGATAGCATCATGGGTCTCGATCTGGACGAGTCGGATGACCACCGGTGGGTAGTACTCATTATGAGGTAGTGGTGGTTTTCGGCGGGGTACTTACCATATGAAGAAGGTGAGGACAACTTATGAGAGGGGTGGGGGTACATGAAAGGAGTTCAAGGTTTTGTGACACTAGCACTTGTGTACACTTGCGATGATGAGATGGTTGTACGAGGGCAGAAAGAAAGCGAGTGGTGGAGGAGAGAGGTTGTAGAGACATGCAAAATGATCAAATGAGATAGCGATGTAATGAGATGAAGAGTCGAAGCAAAGGAGGGGCATTGCCGGGGAAGGATCAATAGGAGCTTGCTCGCAGGGTACGAATTTTCGATGATCCTTCACCCATGATCAGTGTGTGTACATGGAGAATAGATGAAGGAGGATGATAGGGCACATGCGATGAGGCTGGACATTTGGGGACTGATGATTCGTTCAAGTGCAATGGCAGTGCGAACCTTTGCGTTCACTACGATGATTCATCCATGTAGGGTAGCCACATGGCATTTCGACCTAAACCTCAGGGTACATATTTCGTTTCATGTAGATTTGCGTCATTGAGGTGTATTTGCGTATTGGTTTGAATGTTGATGCTGATTAAGAGCTCGAATGAGTCTTGTCGAGGTAGATAGGGTTTGTTAGAGACCATAAGTACAGTTTGTGGTTTTCGCAAAATATGAGTTCCTAGGTTAGTCAAAGAGCCAAGAGTTTGACCTTGATCCAGTAAATTATTGACTTGATTGTACAGAAATGACCATCCAAGATGATAACGCGGCGCAGGCGCTCATCCAATTATTCTCTGGAGAAGGGCTCAAGACCACGAAGGGCTCCAGAGCCGGGAGGAAGGGTGGCAAGCCACAGAACGAGGCCATGTTGCAGCCCAGTGTCAGGCGTGGGGGACGTAAACGCAAGCCATCATCAAGGTTGGATGGATTCAGCAACAGCGATCATGAAGCGTGTCCGTCCCACATGAAAGATCCTCGTGTCAAGCGGGGCAAGGTCGATGAGGTTACAGCAATGGAGCGCAAGAGAAGTTCTGATGCGCAAGGAACGGCAAGGATCACCGAGCGGAAAAATTCCATCACGGATTGCGAGTCAGACAACTCCACTTGCGCGTATCTGAAGAAATCAAGCGCAATGGATCAGAAGACCTCCTCCAGGAGGGCCTCTCCCATCTCACAAGCAAGCACACCTTTGGTGAGCCCGATGCCGTCTCCTGTCGAGGTGAGAGAAATGCATCCTATCATGTTCCTGCGGTCCTGACTTCTTCTGTGAAGAGTGCATCCTCGAACAAGTACTGCCACTTCTGTCAGCATGTGAAGGTCAAAAGGAGCACCAGGTACTCGTGTAGATGTGCTCCCACCTTTTCTCTAACCCTTGAGCAGTATGTTGTCCTGCAGCCAATGCGATCGCCGATACTGCGAGTACTGCTTGCGGGTTCACTTAAATGAAATTTGGGAGAGGAGTGAGAGCTGGTCGTGTCCCCGATGCAGGTTAAGCTTGATGATGCCCAAGTGCTTGCAGGCTGACGTCGAACCGCAGGTGCAAATGTTGTTGCAATTCAGTCAGCTGCACCAAACTTCACAGACACTGCAAGGCATACAGGTGATCACGACTGTGATTACACGATGGTAGAAGTCTGACGCTCTTGCAGGTATAGGTTGCTTCGGGCGAAGCAGGCAGAACTTCGAGCAACTTCGAGCCCAAGAGATGTAGCCGTTCAGCGAAGCAAGAAGGAGGAAGGAGCAGATGAGCAGCAGTCAAGCCAGGATCCAAGGGGATGGTTGGAGCTGCAGGCGGTCGTTTCCAGTGTTCTTGAGGAGACAGGAAAGAAAGTTCATCATGCCAACTTCGTTACTCCCAATGTCAAGGTGGAGGACAGAGGCTGCAAGGCAGGGGCTGCAAGCAATGGCTCCTTGGAAAATGGGACTGAGCCCCGTGGAGATATCTCAGTCAACTCGGTGTCAATGCTCCTCTGCTCGGACGAGCACAGCAACAGATCGGTCCCGGAGCCCAAGTTTGGAACTCAGATGCACAAGCTCTCGTTCCCGAAGGACCTGGCAGTTTCTAATTGTGTCGCGACCAAGCACAGCATCAGCAGCCTGCTGACCGTGTGAGGGCAACGACGTGAGCTTCGACCCAGTGAGGACTTGATCCCTGGGGTCTCGCTCTTGCGATGGCACCATGCGGCGATTGCTCGTGTCTCTCGTTGAGGGGGTGTACATATAGTCATCTTTGACATGTTTCCAATAAGATTCTGTGTACTTGTGGCAAACTATCGTATGTCTCTCCCTTCCTCGCATTCAGATGCGATCTGTCCTGTCGCTCTCCGTCAAGTAGTGAAGGCCGAAGCTCGCCAAGGATCCTCTGATGATTGTAGCGCTTCATTTGTTCACATGTCTCGACCTGGAGGAACAGACAAACACCTGATGTGCGCGAATCGGGGCGGAGTAATGCACATCACCCGTTCAATGACACAAGGTCTGGTTGGCTGCAAGTGTGAGCCGCGAATGTTGTTTCGAGCAATTTCATCTTGTCGTTGAAGATTTGATGATTTCATTCTTACAACCATCTCGGCAACGACCAAATTTGCCTCTAAAGAAGTTGCCCCCCAGCTCAAGGATCAAGTCTTAACCTGCTTCCTCTCCTCCTCCTCTAACTCGTCACTAGCAACAACTGCTGATTTTCTTCCAGCAATACCCGGAACGAACAAGAGAAGTTCTGAGCGATGAGGTCACAGCCGCTGTCATGAGGATCCAAGAGGGCTGAAGTAGATGTAACATGGGACAGGAGCAGCTACTGGAGCTACTTGACATGTGACATGGTCAGGAGCAGCTACTTGACATGTGACATGGTCAGGAGCAGCTACTTGACATGTGACATGGTCAGGAGCAGCTACTTGACATGTGACATGGTCAGGAGCAGCTACTTGACATGTGACATGGTCAGGAGCAGCTCCTTACCTACAGCATTCTTGATCCAGCCCAGGCTTGACCCTCCTGGCAAACCTACCCGGAAAAGTTGCCGGACCGAAAGACTAAAAGGGACTAATAACGGCCCGATCATGGCGGCGGTTTGAGCGCGAGGAGAAGGCAACGAGCGATGGCAGAAGACTCGCAAGGTGAGGAGGAGGCGTAACAGGAGGAGCAGGGAAGAGAGTCGAACAGCAGAGGAGGTGGCATTGGTGGAAGAGAGCAGCAGGCGATGGTTTCTAACTGCAGGAAGCAGGACGCCACGTGAAGTCGGTCAAGGGCTCAGAACAAGGCTGAAGACGCGAGGGAGTGGCGGGAAGACATGCCGCAAGAGAGGGCTAAGGAGAATGCGACGGCAGGGAGAGCCCTTCCTGACCGCTCCAACGCTGAGCACAGCCAGCAGTGCTACACTAGAGTGGACGCAACAGAGGAGCCTAGAGGGATCAATGGCCCGCTTTTCTCCCGCCAGGTTGAGATGTGCCGCAATGCAGCGATGGGAGACCCTGAGGATGTTTCAGGTCTGCGGAGGAGCCAACATGAACGGCCCTCTGGTCAACTCCCACAACTACCAGCCTCCTCGTGCTGCTCCCTACAGGATCCCTTGGCAGGTGCTGGTGGGAGACGAGCAAGTGGCAAGGGCGTGGCCAGGGAGTGCGGCCGGGCTGAACGTGAAGCTGCCCACCCCGAGGAAGAAGGGGGACCTGTACCGGAGCGGAAGCCACTACAGGTCGAAGCACGACCCCCGTCTCCTCCCGACGGGAGGGACGATGGGTCTGCACAACACGTCCATGATCGTCTCGAACATCGATGGGAGGAAGACGATGGGGATAGAGAGGAGGAGCTTCGGCTTCCTCGGCAGGTCTCTGGGGTCCTACAGGAACTCTCCGACGCAGTTCCTCCGCAGTCGAGAGAAAACGGGCGACCTCGCCGCACCCCAGAGGTTCCACTACCCTGACGAAGACTCGAGGCTGCCGAGGCCTCCAGGACGGGGCGACAAGGGCTTCCTGATGCCGAGGAGGACGGCCCCGCCTAACTTCGTCCTGAGCAACCAGGTGGATTGCCTGATGGGAGACATCAAGTTCCTTTCCGGTACCCTCAAGAAGTCCAGGAGCAAGCGGCCCAAGGACAGCCCGTCGGAGGCTGACCCCGACTGGCAGAGACTGCAGGAGGAGAGGAGGTCAGACTTCGAGGCGATCCTCAATGGAGCCAAGCTGGAGGACAGGCGGAGAGTGAAGAGGTTGAAGAAGATCCAGAGGATGACAGGGTCGATCCGCAGCAAGTCCCAGCTGGGAGAGCACCCGGGAATGGCTTCGAACTTGTCTGCAACGATGCCTGCACGACCCAAGACTTCACTCGGGGCCTCTCACATAGACAAGACGTCTGTATCCCTCGCAAGGACGGATCTCCGCAAAACAGCAGACCTCTCCAGGGGAACAACTCTCCAGGGGAACAACTCTCCAGGGGAACAACTCTCCTTCCTTCCAGATGTGAGCCGTTTGCCTCGCTGAGGTGGACAAAGAGGACGAGATGGTTGCTGACATGCTGCGACAAGGTGGTGAAGCGTCAACTTATTGAGAACATGAAGAAGCAGTGGGAGGCGATCAACAGAGAATACCAGCGGTTTACCTTGTCTCTGTTCAACCTCGACACGAGGGTCAAGGAAAGGCAGTTGCTGTCACTCGGTGATGTGACTGACGACTTTGATTCCAGGTGCACAAGAAGGAGGAATGCGAGAGGCAGATGGAGATACTGGAACGAGAGATCGAGAGGTTGTCCAAGAGCGCCATCATCGTGAATTCCACAGGAGAGGTTTTCGCACGGCCGAATACGAGTTTTCACAAAACGTGATGAGGTGAAAGTGAAGGAAGGTCAATCTTGGTACAAGAACAAGAACCACCGTGATGGTCTTGTGAGTACGATGTAAAGATCAAAGAGAAGAATTTCTTTATTTGTACGAGGCATATTCAATCCATCACAAATCCCTGTTAACGTGCCACCTCCACCACACCCCGCTGTACCTCCACTCTCCTCGTCCGCGCGGGGCCATCTTCTGGTCTGCGGATTCAGCCTGGCAGGTGTGGCCCGTGTTACCCAACATCCGCCATGACGACTTGTGCGCACAGGCGCGGCAATGCTCCTTGGCCTGTTCGAGGATGACTGACTCGCGGAGACGCATGAAGTTTTCTGCTAAGCTCTCCGCCTGACCCTCGGACACGACGACCGAGACAGGGAAGGCTGGTCCGACCCCGAAGACGGTCACATCCCACACGGAGAAGAAGCCTTGAACGATGTGATTGGCGATGCGTCTAGTCTGAGTGAAGACATTTTTGGACTCTCCGCTGGCAGATGCGCCGTACAGGAAGCCCGCAGGACGCCACCACATCAAGAGGAACAAGGCGACGAGCGATTCCCTGCATCACAGTTAGTCAGCACTTGCCGCCAGCATGCTCCAAGAACTTACAGCACAGCAGAGATGGACGGAAGGAGCCATCCGCCGATGCAAGATATTCTGACCTTCATGTCGCACACGTCTGGGAACGTTTCCGGTTCAGGGCACTCGGCTTTTTTCTGCCATCAACGTCAGATCAAGCAGAAAACGTTGGGTCATGTTGCCACTACCGCTGCGAATTTGCTAGCTTTGTACGAATTATCACAGCACATCGCTTTTTCGAGGATGTTACATGTAGGAGGCTTTGGGTCTGCGCTTGCGCCTGTGGTGCATGGGTCGGGTGGCTGGAATCCAGTCTTGACGGCACAATGCAAGTGTGAGCCCAAGCCAGCGAGAGAGATGATCCAAGCGACGAAGGTGACCCAGAAGACAACCTTCTGCCATGTGAGCGAGACCTCTCCGGTGAACAAGCATCTCTTCCACATGGTACGCTTAGTCAACCTGCCGCCTCCTGGCCTGACGGGACGCAAATTCCATACGGCAAGTGGTCCTGCCAATATGGCACCAAGGATGTTGATGATGATAGCCTTGCGGAGACTACAGGAACAAACAAGTCAGGTCAAGGCAAACAAGAAAGCGTTAACTGACTTGTTGTTGATCTTCATGTCCAGTCCTTGTGTTTCACGATCCTTGATAGCTCTGGCTTGAAGCACAGCAACAGCCCACATCATTCCCAAGAAGAGAAGATGAAATGAGACTCCGAGGAAAAGCATTTCATTCTTGAGGCCAAACCAGGCAAGTGTTTCATTATTGATGAAGTTGAAAATGTCGACAGACCACTTGAATCCGAAGTACATGGATTGCGACATCTTGTTCTTGAAGGAAGACACAATCTTGTAGTTGGTTGTGAAAGCAACAGGCCTGTCGATGTCACTGCTTTCATAGATGCCTCCTGTTCGAGTTTCGCCTGCTCGCGATGTCACAAGATCGCCAGCAACGGCTAATTTGGTCTCTCCATACGGACCTTTCGAGGTAGAATCTTGTTCGAACATTTTTGCCATCGCCGCATTATTTGCAAACTCTTGCTTGGATCTCAGAAGAGAGACAGCGTAGGGCTCGCGAATAGTTTTCTTCTTCTGTATCGCAATGCGAGTGGAATCATGAATGTTGAACGTGACAATCTTCTCCTTCATTCTTGCATCGCAATACTCCTCCCTCAGGTTCAACTTGTCTCCGTACAGCTTGTAGGCAAGCTCTTCCTCTGAGTTGGCAGCAGACCCTTGCAAGGAAGCATCGAACTCGGAGATCACCTTGGACAACGACAGGTACCCGCTGGTCGAGAAGCTCACAGACGCCATGAGTTGAATTTCCCCGGTGAACACCTCAAAGAAAACCCATTGCTGACCGGGAAAGGTTCGAATCTCAACCATTTGCTGGGGCTGCAACTCTGCCAATGGAACAAAGTTGCCAGAGAAGTCCGCCCAAGTCACCAGGATTCTCTTGCCCGTGTCATTGGGCATCCATATTGTGATGGAGCTGGACAAGAAGCACTGGGCAGACTGCTTCTGTGTGGAGAGCTGGAAGGTGGCGCCAGGCTTCGCCTTCTCCAGGATCTTGTCGATGTTTTCATCCAGCTGCTCGCCGGCGATGAGAGACATCCCTGACGCAACGTGCAGACGACACGAGGTCCGCCACGTTGAGCGAGGGCTATATATACTCCCCACCGTGCCCCACCCTCATCGTACCCCACCGTTTCCCCGTGCAAGTACCCGGTCCGCACCGGGGCATCCACGAATTACGATAATGTCCGCAGAGCCACCCCCGTTTTTCCCCAAGTTGCAGTAGGTAGGGTCACCCTCACCCACCCCAGTGTGCTGTCAACTTCATCAGTGCTTCGCAGGGCTCACTGTCAACTGATACCACCCTGACCACCCCACCCTCAACCAGCAGCAACCGGGTACGATATCCAAGTCAACCTGATATCATCAGGGGTGGGGTGGTAACCGGCTTCCCTGGGTTTATTTTACCGAGTCTGATCGTTGTAAGACCCAGGGAAATGAGTCGGGCGCCACTATGAAGGGTGGGGTGGGGGTGGCCCACTTTAGCACCGTATCCGGTTGACTGCCAACTTGACCGTAGTACCCGTGGGGGCATCGCTTCCCTCTTTTCAAGCTGACCGAACGGGTGGTCGGAGGGGCAACGGTCATTCTTAAGGGACCCGTTCAATTGGGGGTCACAGTGTACCAGTACCGTCACCTCTAAAGTGGAGTGGGGAAGAGTCAGAGATCACTTTTAGTTCCCAGTACGGTACACAGCAACGGTTGAATAGGCTTCCCCGTACTACCCTTGGCAATCATTTGTACCAGTCGTTTTCAGTCGGCACTGTGAGAGTCGAACTTCAGCCTCGGAAGATCTTGCGGCCGTCTGGTAGTCACGTGCAGGGCCTCACTGTACCGGGCCGTACGGCGCGGCTGGCGGCTCAGCGGCTGGCCCCCGGTACCGTAGTACCGTACGGCGGCGGCCAGCCGTACTACTACTTGTGACCCGTCGGACGGTACCGTACCGTCACGCGACTCCTGGCAAGAAAATAACGGTCATCCGATCATCTCATTTTCGGGGCAATCCCGTCACAGCGGCCTCGCTCGCCGTCGGAGGTTCCGGGCCCGCCTCCTGAGCGGCCCCGGACTCGAGTCGGAAGTCACGTACCGGGTAGCCTAGTATATCCATTCCTCGTACAGATTTTTTAACTTAACTTTGAGTAAATGCATTCCATGGATTGAGTAGTAAAGAGTAGTGTGGTTATTGGTAACCGCCCAACTTGAATGCGTGACTTGCCACCGCTGCACGTCCGCGGCCCGGCCCGGCTTGGCCTCGGAATCGGAGCCTGAGAGTGTACGGTAACAGCCTCCGAGCACCGGTCATAGAACTCAAGCCAAGTGATTCACACTGCAACAACAAAACAAACAATATTCTTTACGATACAGGGCTTCTTCAGTTGTGTCACAGTGGAGAGCCCATGGGTCCGAGCCCCTGTTCCTGTCCAAGGGTCACTAGTTCTGATAACATTGATTCTCTTCCGTGCAGTTGGGGAGGATTCTGAATCCATTCTCGTTGAGCCTTTCGGGAGGCACGCAGACGCATCTGTCTTCACCAGTATCCTCCTGATCAAATTTCAATCAGCCAGATGTCCCTGTAGAAACAATGCACATCCTACATCTTTTTCCATTCGCGGCAATCCGATCCAGTGCCGCTCTAGTCCACCGCTGTCCGAGCTGCACCATATCCTGGTTCCCTCGCCAGGAAACAGGTGGACATTGCATGCTACGTTGAACATGGATCAGTGAGAGAGCCGGGGCGTTGTCAGCGACCTGGAAGCTTCTTCATGAAGATCTCATCGTGCCGAGCCTGTGCCACGAGCTTGTGGAAAGTCTTGAGCTGCAACAGACAAGTGACAACCACTTCAACTAGACGGGGAGATCTTCATGACCATACCTCTTCTGTTTCTTCGCCGGTGCTGTCATAATATCGTCCAATGAGCTTCCCCATGTAATTGTACTTCGTTTGGTTTTGATAAAATTTCAACCAGCCATCAACAGTGATCAGCTCTCCAGGTTTCAATCCTTCAAGATCGTCGATACATCCCTCCTTGTCGAATTTTCCTGTCACGTATGCTCTGCTTCCATCATTGCCAGCAAAACAAGCGTAGTGCATTCCTTTGCTATAGAATCGCGCTCCGGCAGAGACATTGTAGCAGCTTCCAACAATACAGACGACAATGGGACGACCCTCGACAGAACCATCAAAGTCTCTGAGAATTTCTTTCGTAAAGAGCAATTGCCCCTGGTTTTCTTTTTGCTTTTCTAACCATGTGTTCGCCTTGTCTTCGAATCGAAAGAATTGAATCCCGACGACCAAACCAGACACAACAAGTACCAACAGCGCAATCACGGCGTTTGCTGCATTCTTTCTGGGAGTCTCAACATGCTCCTTGTGATTTCTCCCTAAGTTGGATCTCATCTCCTTATCGTCCTGCCTTCTCCCGCCATGCCGCCTTCGTGAACCTGCTCCGTCAACATCGTCGAAAACCTCCTGCATGGCACAGGAACACAACTTCACAAACTTTCAGCCCTTGAAACTTTACCCTACAAAAGTTTGGGATAAAGTTTAAAAGTCTGGACATGGCTCTTTACTACCATATTCCTCCACTTTTAAAACACTTGTTGGGGGCACTTGTTACCTTGATGGGCCTGATCAACATGCGAGCTCCTCGTTCACGAGCTCTGATCCCCTCGGCCTGATCCCCTCAGCTAGCCTCAAGCCCGTTGCCAACTGACAAGCCAGCTGTCAAGCATGGACGCGGGGGAGGTAGTCTTCATCAGCCCAAATGTTGCCTTCAGGCTACGCGTCCTTGCCAAGCGAGCTCGTGAGAGAGTTGCACAGAAGCATCGAAGCCAGAGGTTTCTCCTATACCCTGATTCATCATTGCTGGTACTCGAATGCGCTAAAGATACGAGCACTTATCGCTTGTTCCACAGATTTCCTGGCAAGTCGTAAGCATCATATTGATTGTTTGGACTATCTTTGAGGTACCTTTCACACTGGTTTTCGTGAGAAATGGACAGAATAGCGATCAATCATGGTGTAAGCGATATAGATGCTATTGTTTTTTCGACAGCGGGTAGGCTAATAGGGTGCAGGCACCTGGGACTGGATCATGGTAATAAATTTGGTGAGCTTGCGACTTTGACTTGAGTTGTTGAAATGTTTTCGATTGTTGAAGACGTCATAGGTCGTGGACATCTGCTTCATGCTGGATGTTGTAGTGAACTTCAACACTTCATATCTCGACAGCGAAGCAGTACGTACATCATGATCAGTCAAATGAGTTTTCTGACAATTTCGCTCGAACAGTTTTTGGTGAAGAATCGAATGGACATAGCCATGCACTACTTGAAATCATGGTTTCTTCTGGATTTCTTGACGAGTTTGCCTATTGACAGCTTTCTCTGCGTAGAATACAAGACTTTGCTTCTGTACATGATGATATGTTTGTCTAGGCTGGTGGCAGCGAATCAAATCCTGGCTTTCTTCGAGTTGTCAAGGTTATCCGTCTGATCAAGATTGTTCGTTTTGTGAGGTAGCAATTGCTTGTTAGAATTTGCCAGCTGCAATCTGTTGCTGTTTGTGATGGGCAAATCCAGGGTGAAACGAATTTTGAGTAATTGGGAGCTATCTATCACCTCGAAAATTTTCTTGACCATCATCCGCTTGTTCAAGTTCTGCATGCTGATGCTGTTCTCGGTTTGTGATTGTAGTCGTGGGAGATACTAGCGTCTTGTGACTTTCCAACTGAAGATGCATCTTTGTGGATGTCTCTGGATGCTCATGGCAATCATAGACGTTTGCAATGTGAATCCGTCTCAAACTTCTAAGGTACAGAACTCGATGATGTTCATCCTCCTTCAAAAATTGCTCAGAATCAGCAGGACTGCATTTGCGATGCCGGTGGATGTTACCCAAACAACTGGCTAGCAGCCTATGATCTTCACATGTATGAGTCGATCGCGACGGATTCAGAACTCTTCCCTCGCTATTTGGTCTCTATCTACTTCGCTACTGTGACGCTGACGACGGTGAGAGCGGAGGAGGGCCTGTGAAACTAGAGAGCCAGTCTGAACGTGGACGTGCAGGTGGGTTATGGAGATGTAGTGCCCGTAAGGTGAGAGTCGTTCCTGTGCCGACTGTGTATGACATGCGCCATCACGCAGAGATGCGGTAAGTCTGCTTGAAGTCCTTCCAAGTCATTGTCAGGACGCCACGTGTGATAGGAGCGAGCTTGCGCCATCTTCCTGACCCTCTGCGGAGCCATTGTGTTCGCGTTCTGTATTGGAAGCATCTCCTCGCTGGTGATTTTGGGTGCCAGGAACGAGAGACTTGTAATTGAGACATGTCGCAGGTCAGTCAGAGAAACCTTACCGAGACTCACATAGAGAGTGAGCTGAGAACGATACAAGACTTCTTCCGGTTGAAGTCGATGAAGCTTTCTTGACGATGATATGGTCCATGCAGCCTCAAGAACCTTCCAAGAAACCTTGAGATACGAGCTAAGCAACATCTGATGCACACCGCCAAGTCAGCACAACATCTTGTTCATCCGTATGTCACCAAGAAAACGAGGAATTTCTTTACAAGTTTACGAGCAGATGCTTGAACAGTCTTCCTGATCGAACTAGACAAATGATCATCGAATACGTGAATCGAGAGATATCAGACGAATCAGCTGAAATGTTCGACAGATTATGAAGGGAACTCTAGACAAACATCCTTTCTTTGTCGACATGGATTACGATTGCAGGCAGGCGTTACGGCTCATAATCTCGTGGAATGACAGTCCTTGAAGGTGTTTCATGGCAGAGTACCTGACGCCGATCTTCGTACAGAAAGATGAGATTCTCTTCCGAGCCCTGGACGTTGGATTCGTAAATCACATCTCGGGATGATTGAATAGTTTGTGATAAAATGACAAGGAGATGTACTTCGTCGTAGAAGGAGAGTTCGAAGCTTGGAATGTGGAAGACAACAAAGTCCTTGCCAAGGTGAAGTTTGCTTGCGATTCACTGCTTTGCCTTGTGTGATGGTGCCTGTCAGCTCGGGAAAGGAGAATATCTGGGCGAAATCTCTTTGTTCCCTGACATCTCAACGTGTCGAACTTCTACTGTCAAGGCGAAAATCGACAGTGAAGTCTTGTCCCTGAGGTGAGAGATTCAAGCTCTGCTGCTGTTCTCGATATCTGCGACCAGGCGAGACGACTTCTACAACCACATCCGACCTCACTTCCCGGATGTCTATGAGGCGATCAAGCGACTTGTTGTGCCAGGGCTGTGAGCTTGTGGGTTCTCACATGAGCGGCAGGCGATCACGAAGCAGAGGTGGCTGGATTCAGCGATCGTCAAACGATATGCAAGTGAGCGAGAGAGCACGAGATGAGAGCAGGAAGTGAAGAGAGGCTGCAGGGGAGAAGTCACAGCACAGATGCGATCACATCTACAACAAGATCAAAGAAATTCAGACTAGGAAACTCTTCGTGATGTCAAGGAGCCAGAAAGGTCGCACATCCTGATTTCCCCTCACCTTCTCTCCTTGTGTCTCTTCTGGGCTTCATCGCCTTGTCTTCGTCAGTCTCCTCTCGTCTCGTCAGTGCTGTACTTCATCGCCTCCTCTTTTTTGCTTCATCTGATCTCCGTCCCTCATCCCGACTCTCCTCACTCGATCAGCAGGTTTCAATTCGCCTTCTCTCTCGCCCACCAGTATGTCAGCAAGGAGCAATCGCTCCAAGATAGATAACTCTCTCAACCAACATCGAGACCTCCCGCTTGAGAGCAGCCCCCGCAGACGTTCTTGCTTGCCTTCCTGCTGCCCCTGCTCTTGCTCTTGCTCCACGGCCTCCTCCATCCTTGTCCGCCTCGACAGGCTGCAGACGATGGTGGAAGGGCTTCAGGCGAAGCACAGCCAGCCGCAGGTTGAGAATGATTTATTTAAAGTTGTATGAACACAAACTCTTGGAAAGAAGCGGCCAAGAAGAAGAGTAGAAAACAACAGAACGATCAACACGCAAGAGAAGACCATCTAGAGCCAGAAAATCTCTAGACGGCGAAACATCTATTCACAATCCCAAATTCAGCAAGCGGCTCATGCTGACCTTGCTGCAGCAGTCTGGCACCGTATCAACTTCAAGTAGGTGCTCGCCTTGAGCTTCAGCTTCACCCCCGCCCGCTCCGCCTCCTCATATCCCGTCGTGGCCTCAGCAGGAAAGCCTCCTTCCATGCACGCGTCAAGAAAGCTGTCAAACACGTCGTGCAGCTGCAGCTTCTTCGTCCTGCTCCGCGAGCCTGAGCTGGGATCTTGCCGTGCATAGAAGGAGAGCACACTTCGCCATACGAGGAGAGCATCTGCAAGAGAGTAAGCGATCGTAAGGGGCAGCGAGCTACCTTCCTTCTGCCAGCCTCGCCCGACCGAACCCAGCGAGAATGACCTGGAGGAGGGAAGCGTCGAAAGAATCCAGATCGAACCTCCATTCTCGAGACTTCTCCTTGAAGGAGGAGCGAGACAGGCGGTAGGCATCCAAGGCGGGATGGGGGAGGCAGAGGACGAGCTGGCGAGCGAGAAGGAAGTCTGTCTCCGCTACCGAGACCCGGAAGAGGATGGTAAAGAGCCCCTCGTCGAGAAACATTTCTGCCTCCTCCATCCGCTCCACCACGTCCAGCACTTTGCTGAGCCGCTCTCCTCTCCCGAACTTGCGGATGGTCGAAGCGTACGCTGACTGCAGCGCATGCACGTCGGCGAAGCATCGAATGTCCATAAGGCACTTGAGCGCTTTGTCGAAATCTCCTTTCTCCGAGCACACTTCGATCTGATCACGAACGTAAGTCTCCTCCCTCCCTCCCTCCCTCCCTCCCTCCCTCCCTCCCTCCCCTCCCTCCCTCCCTCCCT